ATGATTTTGAATTTTTTTGGTGAGACTAATAGCTCTGAGATTAGTGTAAAAAATGCTAGGTTGTTGTAACCCAACGTTGGGTCAAATGTGGACAAAGCCAACCATTGTGTTAAAAAGTGTAATTGAAATTTACTTGAATAAAAAAATCAAACCAATATTAGGTTTGATAATGTTTGACCCAGTGTTGGGTCATGACTAGGCCCACAAGAAATATTTCACAGATTTTTTAGCCCATCATTGAATTTATTTATTTATTTATGTAAATGCGTGTTTAGTTTTTATATTATTTTCACAGTTTTTTTTTTAAATATGCAAAATGTGTAATACAGTTTGAAAAGTTATTATTTTCTGTCTTTTAGTAGATATATGAGAAATTTGCTTTTATTTACCAAACAAGTAGATCTAGCTGGATTTGAATTTTAAATCCTAAATAAATGTTAAAAAGGTGATTCTATTTTATTTCATTTTTACATTTTTCAACCCAGGATCATTCTGAAAACCTACCCCTATATACCTTTCTGGAGTGCGCCAAATATGTCCCAGAAGCTACGTTTTTTTGCAGTTTTTGTTTTTATGAATCCACCAGAAGCCACTGTGTATGCTTTTTCAGATCTCAAATTTTTCTTGGGAGAGCCATTCGCACCTGCTGTTCTGGTGTAAATCCACCAGAGGCCACTGTCAACTGACTTACTGACTGATCGATCAATCAACTGACCCACACTCCTCCTTCCCTAAACGTAACCAGTCATGTCTTCAAAAGCACCGATTAACCCACCAACACACTTCCCTAAAAAAAGTGTTTTCAAAAAGCAATCCAGAAAAAGAAAAGCCCTCGCCTGATTTTTACCACGCTTTCATATTTTACTACATTCTCACCCTGTTATTTTTTTGGCTTTGTTTTTGTTTTACCTGCTATCTGGAGCTACTGGACAAACTGGTAACAGCGGGAAAGCCGTTCATAAAGAGGTAAGCGGTCAGCTGGAAAGCATGAAAAAGAAGGGTGTCAACACTCTGTAGCATTTGTTTTAAAAATTAAATGCAGCCATACCTACTTCTGGCTACATAATTTGCCATCTCCAGAAATAAATATAGGGCCACATCTTTAGAATGGGTCTCCTGACATTTTTAGTTACTATACTCCCAAAATCTTTCCGTATAAATCCACGTTTTTTTTTTTTTTTTTCACTAAATTCTGTGCAGATATAGCAAAAAATGTACACAGATTCTGTCTAGATTTGGTCATGACAACCAAACATTAATTAAAGTGTTTATCTATTTTTTTTATTTATCTTAGCTTTACTGATCAGATGATGGTGTCCGATTTACATTCATATATGATTGACCCTTCAGATTAGTTTTTAATAAAGTCTTTAAGGAACTGACATTTTTTTGACCGATACTGAACAAAAGAATTCCCGGTCATGTTTTTTTCTTTAATCTGAAACCTGCTGCAGTCAACATTAGTGGTTTGTGGCAGATCAAATGCTGGATGACCATCAATTGCAATGTTTAGGACTTTCCACTGAAAGTTTAACAATGTGGGTGAATTGTTTTTAATCTTTCTTTATATGTTACATATTTACAGGCAAACAATAAAGTGACTGAAATCCAAAAGTGTTAGCTCTGCATTGACAACAGTCAACGTGACTGAAACTTTTGCCTTGTTTTTTTCTGTAAATCCCCTGTACTAATTTTTATCTCACTTGTGCCTTTTTGATATTGATGACTTTTTCCAGTCACTTTGTTATATGGGATTATTTTTTGGTCTATACACCTTGATTGGATTGTTTTGAAAGTGCAGTGAGTCTTTGGTTGTCTTACAGAAATACATAAATTATTGTCCGCTGATAAAATAATGTAGATCAGTTCTTACCAACATAGGCACATTCTGAGAATGTACACCTATATACATTTCTGGAGATCATGAATTATGTAGCCAGAGGAACATATGGCTGCATTTTGTATTTAAAACAAACTTTACGGGGCGATATGATGCCGTTCCTTTTCTCACTTATCAGCTGACAGCTTACCTCCATGTGGACAGCTTTGTCGCTGTTTCCAGTTTGTTCATGTTTGCCACAAATGTTGGCGCATTAGAGATGCTGTCACGATCACCAGCAATCTTGCAGTTGCAGATTGCAAAAGAACCACAAAACTGCCACTGATATGAACTACAAATCCCATCATGCACCACTCACACACACCGATTCCCGTTCTGCCCTTGATTGCAAACACACAGCAAAAGCTTGTGAAGACTCATGACCAGGAATATAAATACACCTCACTCTCACACACACATTGCTGAGTCTTGTTTGCTGTAACATTTCTAAGCGTTCTCTTGTCTAGTCTTGCCATTATTTTGACCTTTGCCTTGTTTTCTCGTGTGTGTTGTTTTGCCAATGTATCAACCATTTTGCCTGTGACCACAACTAAAAGTTTGGATTACCCTCATGTATTTGTTTGTTCCTGTTTGACTATTGCTTGCCTAATCTATTTAAGAAACTGTGTTTGGACCCTCTTCTTCGTTGTCACCTGGGTTCTTTTGTTACAGATGCAGAGAGGAGTTGACCATGACGATGGGGTTTGGCAAAGAGCGGTTCCAGAAAGCAGGTAAGACAAAAACAAAAGCCAAAAAATAAAACAAACAAGTAAACAACAGGCTAAGAATGTGGTAAAATCTGAAAATGTGTTTTTTTTCTGGATTGCTTTAAAAAAACTATTGGTTGGGTTTAGGGAGGGGGGTGGGGTTATCAGTCAGTCGGTCAGTCGACAGTGGCTTCTAGTGGATTTACCAGAGAAGAGCAGGTTTGAATGGCACTCGTGAGAGAATTTGGTCATGTGACCATTGGTCATTCATGAAAACAAGTCATATTTTTTACAGCCTGGGACATATTTGGCGCTCTCCAGAAATGTATATAGGGCTCTGTAATCAGAATGACCCTGGGTTGGTTCGTACAGTGTTAGCTGGTATGAATTTCTCAGAATGTCTCAATATAATGTTTCATCTAGTGAAGCGCAGACTAATGAAATGCACAATAAACACTTAAACATGTAATACAAATATTTACTGAATATAAAATATTTAGGAAATTAAAACTAAATGGAGCAAAGGAGCAGATTTTTGGCTTTCAAATCCCTTTCGGGTTTAGAGATGCTCAGTTTATGGCAGGTAGTGTTGGGGGTAATGCATTACAATTATATTTCATGTAATTAATGTTACAATTAATATGTCATGTAATCAGATCACTTTTTTAACACATTAAGAAAATATCTGGATTTCAAAATAGTAATGCAGTTACTTTTTGTTTTCTAATTTATTGACTGCCATTTCCTCTGTCCTCTTGTTAGAGAGAAATCAAGAGTAAGTGAAGATGTACGGTGTATAGTGTGTAAACTTGATACTGTACACTGTTAATTAACAGGTTCCATATCTGTGACTTACAAGTATTTTCTGTTTATTTGTGGTTGTGACTTCCATTATGGGATGTTGATCTCTGTTCTGTCGACTTTCGATTTTGAACATTCAACTCAGCAATTTTCACAGAATGACTTTTATTCACATTTTAGTAGTTTGAGACAAGATATTGCTTAATAAAAAATATATAGTAAACTAAGTTTGTAAATCAACAGAAAATGTACAGCTTGTTACCAGGTTTTTGTATCATAATTTACATCACCAACCCAGACAATATATCACTTTAAATTATTAAAAATGTCAATAAAAGCTTTTTAAAATCAAAAGCTTTGAAAGGAAAGATCAAGATCCCATAATGCAATTCAAAACCATAAATAAGTGAGGGAAAAAAGTTGAAAACTTGAATCTTGATATTTTTTACAGTGTAGCTTAAATGTAAGCATGTATTTGCTTAATTCACAAAACCAGATTTAGTATCCTTAATGAATAAAAATCAATAACTATGAATATAAAATGAATAAAAACTGCATTGCTGAAATGACTTTATACTATTTATGGATCCTGTTCTTCGTAAAATCTGTGTATTTCCTTCAGATTGAGGTTTGTTCACTTCTCCTTTCACTTTTGTTTTAAAAAGGCTTTACATTATAAAAACATTGTTGTTGTTTTTTTTATATATACTGCATAGGTATTATTTATATTATAACGTGCATTATTAGTCCAGTTCAGATGAAAAAGATAAAAAAAAACTAATCAAGTACCACATTTAGTGACACATTCTTTTTAGAAGTAATGCAAGATTGTACATTACTTTTAAAAGTAACTTTCCTGAACACTGAGGGCAAGTTTGGTTTTAATATAATGCTCTGTTAAAGTGGCTCATTTGGTTTGACTAACATATGAGCACAACATAAACCAAGAACATCTAAACAAACTGACAGCATGCTCAAGCAAAAAAATAAATAAAAAATCTCAGTCGCAGTGGTATCGATTATAGTTCAGCACAAGCATCTTCTTGCAGCAGTTCTTCATGTTTGCTAAGTTACAAAAGCTAGTATCTGTTTAGTTTTTATTTTTAGGTTGAGACCTAAAAATAAGAGCCTGAACACTGTTTGTCATTTGGGACCAAATGTGTCATTTTGTTTTTTGCTCAGGACCAAAACAACTGAAGTGTGGACACACTGACTGTCAGATTATTGTGGCTATACCGTGTCTGGACTCTTGATAAGATATGCTTTGTGATTTTTCAGCTCATTCTTTGTGTGAAAATCAATACACATTTAGTATATAAAATTAGTATGACTTCTCATGAACAGTTATTACATTTTCTTTACAGTTTTTACATTTTTAAAGCTAATTAACTTCAGAATTTAATCATTGTTACCTTGTTTGTTTTCAACACAAATCTTTATTAGGCCACTTAGGTTTAAATTATATTTAATAATTCAAACAATTCATATCAACCACATTTTATATTGAAAGTGGTGTGTCATGTGCTCACTGGGTTGAGAAATAGGTTGGTTAATGACGACTTAACAGAGAGGAGGAGGGCAAGAAGCTGGATATATAAATAATAGCCAAAATCATCAGTCTAAAGCTGCGCCTTCTACAACACAAAAGACTGATTCTGCATTTACTAGTGGTGTGGTAATGTATCGAGCCGAATTAAATCAATATTATATTGACTTAAACCAAATAATGATGTTATTGCCTCTCTGTAAACCATTTTTGCTGCTTTTATGGTATAATACCGTTCATCTCTACAGTTTCTTGCTGTTTAAGCCACAGTCAGTATGTTAATGTACATGTTATTATACATTATGATCAATATAATGATGTACTCAACAGTTCTGTATGTATTTTACAACACTACTGTAGATCATCATTAGCTACTGTTTTACTTATTACAGTAATGCAAACTGACTGCAAAATTGTTTTTAAAAAAAGTTATACTATGCTTTTTACCACATTAATCACTCATGTGGTTTGTTTTACAGTAATTTTACTGTGGTTTGAAATACATGAACATCTCAATAATCCTGGCCAGTAAGTTACTGTTGTTTAGTTGTTCTGTGCTGTAAATGTACTGCAACTTGACTTTTAATAAGACAAATATTAAACATTTTAAATATTAAACATTTAACATGTATGCACTATGCAAGAAGGGATAGTTCAAGCAAAAATAAATAAATCTCATTATTTACACTCCCTTGTGTGGTTAATGAGTTTCTTTTTACTGTCACAAATAAAAAGAAGATGAAGAATGCAGGCTGCTGGTGTAACCAGGGGTGACACTGACAACAGAGGTGAGGATCCAAATGCAGGTTTATTAGAATCGTCAGGCAAACAGTGGTCAATACAGGGGCAAACAGATGTATGAGGACAATCCAGAGACTAAGTCAAATTAACAGGCAGTTGGTCACAGGGCAGGAGGAAACAAATAAGCGAGGCAAAGGATCAAAACACGGCAAAGGCAGACAAAGGAAAAGCGTTGTAGTGTCACAGTAGCAGAAAACAAGACTCAGCAATGGAATTGAGTGTGTGTGGTGCTTAAATAGTTTGTGTGATCAGTCTTTGACAATCCTCAGGTGCTGCGAGTGTAATCAGTCAGAATGAGGAAGCATGTGTGTCTGTGAGCGGAGTGCATGTATGAAAATGTAGTCCAGAAATGGCAGAATTGTAGTCTATAAATTATTGTGAGTGAGATCCAGTGATCTATGAAGTTACGATCGCTGGTGATTGTGACAGCTGAGACTTTCATTTTCAAATTGAATGGAAGTCAGCGGGTTCGGGCAGCCAGCATTTTGATGGCAGGTTTGGTTAGATTATAATGCTCTTTTAAAGCGGCTTATTTGTCTGCTTTCAAATAAACTTTGGTACAGTTTGACTAACATATGAGCACAACATAAACCAAGAACATCTAAACAAACTGCCAGTATGCTCAGGCAAAAAAATAATAAAAAATATCTTCTTTTGTGCTGAACAGAAGAAATCAGACAGGTTTTGATCAAATGACATTGAGAATTTTTTATTTTTCAGTGAACTATCCCTTGTAGATCATGACTAAACAATTTATTTAACAACTAATTAACAATTTCCTGTAGAAGCTACAGTATTTTACTGGCTAATTACAGCAAAAATACTGTATTTACATTTACAGCACATTTTATTTTGCTGTATATGTATCTAGGCAACTGTATGTATATATTTAATGTAAAATACACAGTAATGTCCACAGTGCAAAATAAATTAACTGTCCTACAGTAACATACAGTTCATAATACAGTAAAATACTGTGTAATTTACAAAAAAAAATATTAACAGTGCAGAAATTGATTATCATAAATGAGAATATGAATGAGTATTGCCAATAAAAAGACTTTCACTTCCCTTGTTTTGTATTTGCAGTAAGTCACCCAGCTTCCTCCAATCTAAACTAACCAAAATGGCAACTGGCGGTGCGATAACAAAGCTCAATATCTCCACCACTAAAGATGAGGAGGAAATACTTGGAGCTAACCAATATCACCGCCTCAATGCTGACCTCAATGCAGGCACTAAGAAAGATCGCGTCTTCCTCTGGTACAAGAAAGAGTGTGGGTTGAAGCCTGTGACCAGGATCCAGTTTTCATTCAAAAGAGATATGGAAAAAGGTCTGGAGGCAGCTGGGTACGAGCAGGTCAAGAAGAATCTGAATGCAGGAACGACTGGAGACAAAATCAATCTGTGGTACTTTTACGGCAGCACCGAATCTGACATCCCCATTGTGGACCTGGAGGTGAGCAAAGATGCCACAGAAGAGCCGGATTTTTTGCGAGATGGCTGGGAGAGGCTGGGTTGTGATCTGAACCGCAGTGCTGGAGGAAACTTCATCTATCTGTGGGTGAAAAGAGAGAAGCCGAGCTACATCTGTGAGATCACAGCATCTACTGACTTCAACTCTGACAAGCAAAAGTTTGATCTTGGCTTCACTCGTGTGGACGAAGACACCAATCGCGGTGCCGGTGGAAACAGCATCTTCCTCTGGTATCGACGCACAGTTGATAAAAGCAAGGCTCTCACCGGTCTTAATGTGTCCACCAACTTTGAGGAGGATGTGAGGCTTGAGAATGACGACTTCAAAAAGCTCAGCGTTAATCTCAATACTGGCGCTGGTGGAAATGATATCTTCGCTTGGTATTTGAACAAAGGATGTGAATCGCAGGTCAAGAACATCGTTCTGCTGATCAATAGTGCTGCCTGGGTTGTGTATCAGAAAGCTGGGATCAACTTCATCGACAAAAATCTGAATGAGGGCAACCAAGGGAAAGAAATGTACTTGGCATACCAGTAGATTAAATGAGCTAGTGCAAATATATGGCAACTATGTACAGTTGAGGTCAAAACGATTTATTTTTTCAAATTTCTTTTTCAAATATTTCCTAAAGGATGTTTAACAGAGCAAGGGATTTTTCACAGTATTCCTAAAATATTTTTTTCTTCTGGAGAATGTCTTATTTGTTTTATTTCAGCTAGAATAAAAGCAGTTTTTTATTTTTTAAGAATCATTTTACGGTCAATTTTATAAGCCTTATAAGAAATATTTCTTTCGATAGTCTACAGAACAAACCATCGTTATACAATAACTTGCCTAACTACCCTAAACCTTGCTTAGTTAACCTAATGACCTAGTTTAGTGGATCTCAATCTTTTTTCATCAAGTACCGCCTCATAAAAAAATAGTTTCTCCAAGTACTACCATAATGACCAGTATTGTAATACAGCAGCGTAAATACTGACTAAAAACGTTAACATTTAAATTAAAATGTGCTCTTAAAAGTTAAAAATGAAAAGTTACTGTTCTTAAAAAGTTAAAGAAAAAAAACTCCTGTAAAGTATTAGCCTATTTATCAACACCAGGAAACATAGGCAATATGTCATCATATTCATACATAAATCATTTTTTAATAATTTTTTAAAAATAAATGTAGCATGTACATATGACATATTTGATTCCTCCGCGTACCACTAGAAGGAAGCCCAAGTACCACTAGTGGTACACGTACCACAGTTTGAGAACCACTGACCTAGTTAATCCTTTAAAAGGCACTTTCAGCTGGATGCTAGTGTCTTGAAAAATATCTAGTAAAATATTATGTGCTGTCATCATGGCGAAGATAAAAGAAATCAATTATTAGAAATGAGTTATTAAATTAGTTAGAAATGTGTTGAAAAACGTCTCTACATTAAACAGGAATTAGGGAAAAAATATTCAGGAGGGCTAAACATTCTGACTTCAACTGTATATGCACTGAAAATTACTGATAATCATTAATAAATCAAAATAGGTGATTTAAAATTATATTGTGATTGCTTGAGGTTGTTGTAAAACCAGTAACTGCGCTTGTTGCCATGCATGATGAAATAAAAGCCTTTGAATGCAAAAAAAAAAATAGTTTTACATTTGTGTCAATTTTTGAAAATGCAATATCTATATTCACTGTCTACTACTCTTACTTCAGTTCATAATCTCTCACACTAGCAAATAGCTTAAAAGAGATTTTGTACATGCAAATCAGATCAAAATTTTCCCTCTTATTTTAACCTGTTCCATAATATTTTGAATACTCAACAAATTACATTTGCTGCTGCTTGTTCACACTACTTACTTAAAATGAGCTGAAAGAACACAATCCTCAACATGGGCGTTGCTAGGCCTATTTTTCTACTTAGACCCCCTAAAACTTTTGCGATTTGCTCATAAACTGTACACTAAGTTTTTGCCTCAGCCCTCTTTAAATTTGATATGAAAACGGCAGCAGAATTTGGCTTCTCCCTGTCTTTTGTTTTTCATTTGATCAGCAAACCACAGCGTTGGTCAGCAAGAGAACGAGGTGTGTGTTTATTGATAAATTATTATAATATCTGCTTTTTTTGCAGCTCTTTAATACAGATAACCTTGTATCACCTGTATCCCAATGTCATGGAGGAGCAGTCGGGTTTTCTCGGCGTTCACCTCATTTCCTCCAGCGAAAAATAAAACTGTTAACAAACATTTGCTATTTTTATTTCAAAATCAACTACCAATGTAAAATACTTTACAGTTCGTGTGGCATTATACCAAGCAGTCTTGCACAGAAAGGATTAAACACAGTGACAGAAGCATTTAGAGAATGTACTCGTTTTAACTGTCACTGAGTCACTGACAGAGACAAAAACGTCAAGTGTCGTCTAGTATTAAAAAAATACTTTTTATTTATTATTATCATTTAGATCATGAAATATGTGAATTAGCCTGTAAGTTTATATGTATATTTGTAAATGTATATTTATATGTATGTCATTTAATTAGAAAAGTGTCAGTTTATTTATTTAATACATGGAAATAAAAATTCACTTGAATATAAAGTGTTTTTTTACTAGAGTAAACAGGGGGGTGGAGCCTATTTGGCTTATTCAGATCTCAAATGGCTATACCTGTCAATGTAATACAGAGGAATACTAGTGTACAACCCATATTAAACAAACAATTTAAGTGTATTACTATTTTATAAATGTAATATTAGGAGTGTGTGTGTGTGTGTGTATATATGTATATATATATATATATATATATATATATATATATATATATATATATATATATATATATATATATATAAACTTTTTTTTTTTTACCTTTTGAGGAGCTGAGCCATAAAATGAAAATCCTAAAATCGCCCCTGATCCTCACTAAAAAAAAAGCTTTCATTCATCCAATATAACACATTTTTGGTAATGGTTCAGACCTCAATTTTATCACTTGACCCAATAAAAAACAAATAAATTGCCTTAAACTACATTTTCCATCTCCATGGGAAAAATTTTATATAACCTGCACTTTTAAAAAATCCGTAATTTTATGATTTATCTTCAACAGCTGGGGTGCTGTAAAAAAAAAAAACACACAAAAAAAAAACGTCATTAAAAATAAATAATGGACATTAAATTACAGCAATGTCCTTAAATTTACATTTCTGGTAAATTTCTGTAATTCATTCTCTGTTACAGTAAATTTCTGTAATTTAATATATCGTAAAATTACAGATTTTTTTACAGTGTTGTACAAAGCATATTTGTCTTGCTGAAGAAAGTCAAGATATAGCTTTAATCAAAACAGCAGGGTAACACCTTATTTTGATGGTCCATTTGAGTGTTACTAGACTGTCTGCTTAATATCTACTGATACTGCTCCTTCAACAGACATTTAACTCACTATATAAAAACCTTGCAAGTACATGACAACTTACACTAACTCCAACCTAACACTCTACTTATAATCTAATAAGAATTAGTTGGCATGTAAATGCAAGGTATATTAAATTCAACAAACAGACTATCAAAATAAAGTCAAAACAACAGTTCCCATTAAAGATTCGTTCATCCAATTAAAAAAAAATAGGGTAATGCTTTCACATCTAAATTTGATCTCTTGAGTCAATGAAAAATAAATCATTGGCCTTAATATGTTTTTTAAGTCCGTTAGCACATTAGCGGGGAGAACACTCGTGTCCAATAACCCGCACAACCCTGTGTGTCTCTGTTGTCAGCAGTCCGGCAGAATAAGCAGTATGGGACAGCACTGTCAGTTAACCTTTTTATTCTGAGCTCAGTACCCCTTACAGGACCATACCACCAGTGTGTTGCCTTTACACACTACCCTTATTGATGGAGATGGCCAATATTTTATAAATAAATTAAATATCGGGCTTTAATCACAGAAGCCAACTCAAACGTAAACACACCTAAAGTTTATAACAAAACAACCCATGTTAACTAATATAACACATAAACTAACCCATTTCCACTAACCCATGATGCACCTGGCTATAATGCTGTGGGCCAGAACATTACCGTGTGAGTAACCTTAAAATTTTACATTGGTGAAAACAAATATTTGGCAGTACGGAGGCGCTGTGGGTAAAACCACAACTTCCCTGTGTTGGTAAGGGTTTACTCCAGGTGCACTGGTTTCCCCCACAAGTCCAAAAACATGTTGTATAGATGAATTGGATGTTTACCAGTAAAGGGTTGCAGCTGGAAGGGCATCCGCTGCTTAAAACATATGCTGGATAAGTTGGTGGTTCATTCCGCTGTTGCGACCCCAGATTAATAAAGAGACTAAGCCAAAAAGAAAATGAATAAATGAATTAATGAAAACAAATATTTCTTAGTTGAGCTCTTGATCAAAAACGTTTATATTTAGCATGTATGTTTTGAACTTAAAATTTATTACTTGAAAAATAAAACAAACAATATTAAACTGAAATGAATGATACATTTTTAACTGGATGAAGTACTGCTTGAATTTTTTTAGGGGGGCACAACCAAATTGTTTTGTGTTCAATTCATTGAAATTTGTACAAACTAATATTTTAACTTAATTCATTCATGTTGTCCAAACACAAATCGAATACGTTAATGAAACAAATGTAGGTGGATTGAACATAAAACAATTAAGTTGTACCTAAAAGAATTGTGTTTGAATAAGAAGAGTGCACACAAAATGTTGCTTTTAAGAGCTGTTCACTGAAAACCATTTAGTACATTAAAAAATGCTTCATTGCAAATTGTTGCAAACTATTTATATGGGCTGATTTTAAACAAGCAAACCATGTTGAACATTACTAAATTGAATTTGTTTAAAATCAGCCCATATAAATTGTTTGCAACCCCTTAACTCCAATAGATCTTTATAAAACTCTTAATTAAATACAACGAATCATTTTATTCATTATAGGAGCTGAGATTTGCTCTACAGCATCAGTATTAAAATGCTATTTTTGATATGTATTTTTAAGAATGCAATTTTGCAACCTAAGCCCAGATCAGAACTGCTATTTAAAGAGATACAGTTATATACGGTGCGTAATCTCAGGGTTTCTGTAGTCTCACCAAAACCCACAAAGGCCTCATATGTAATATAAGGTAAAGTATAAACATGTGTGTGCCATTTTGAAAGGCACATTCTTAAAGCTCAGGAGCCAAATTTTAATAATAACAAGCTTTCAAACTGGACTGAAAGGTTACATTTTAATTAGTCCTGTATACAAAGAAACTGTTGTGATGAATAAATGTATCACATTCTAAGCTGCATGTTTCTATACATAATAACAATCACTTTTTATTTGCAATTGAAAAATTTTTACATCTTTCAAATATGTTAGTTCTTTAACGATTTTGTAAAAAGTTTCTGAAACTGTCTTATATTCACAAAGACTGTATTTAGATAATTAAAATACAGTAAACAGTAATATTGTTAAGTACTACTTTAAAATAAGTGCTTACTTTTTTATATATATTTTAAAACTTTTTTATTCCTGTGATAGAAAAGAAAGATTTTCATAATCTTTCAGAAATCATACAAATGCAATCATGTGATTTTTAAGAAAATGTCTGATTATTATCAATGTTAAAAACATTTGTGCTGCTAAAGTTTCTAATGGAAAAGTTGATGAATTTATATATGATTTTAGTTCTTTTAAACATTTTTTTCAGCTTTTTCAGCATTCAGCGTTGTAATTACAGTATTGCAATGTTTTGTTAACCTGTAATGTTAACCAGCTTTTGAGAAATATTTTGTTTTGTTTTTTACTTAAAAAACCTTTAAAATTATATTTTAAAATCAAATATTTAATATTTTAAGATTTTATATATATTTTAAATATTAAGGCTTTAATATTAATTTAAGAAATATTATATTTTGTGTTTTACAGAAAAAAAAAGTATATTAAAAAACAGGAGAAAATATTTCTAGTTACTTCAGTATTCCTATTGGTCACACTTTACTATAAAGGTTCCATTAGTTCATGTTAATTAGTGTATTTACTATTACGAACTAAGAATCAACAATACGTACAGCATTTATTAATAATCAAACGATATTATACTTTACTAAACCTATACCATCCTATTTACTAATGCATTATAAGTTGGATGAATTATCCCTTTAACATTAATGCACTGTGAGTTAACAATGAACAGTTTTTTTATTAACTAACCTGTATAAAAAATATATAAATACAGTGATAATTGTTCATTATTTGTGTTAATAAATGCATTACCTACTGGAACTTTATTAGAAAATGTTATAAAGCATTATTATTAGGGATGCTTCTATCTATTAGCCGGAGATTAGTACTCGCTGATCTGGCCGATCTCATCAACCAATCGTAAGTGTTTGTGTTAGTTGGAGAGGAGCTAAATATTTGAATAGCCTAGCATGTATTTAGGCTTGTTTACGTTTAATACCTGAAAGATTTGTGTTTTGACAATATTGCAAGTTCACTAAATTCTGACTGAAAATAATACATAGATAAAACAATTTTGTTACCATGTACACAGCAAAATCCTCTGAGTAAATTTTACTCAGTTTAGATAGTATTTGGTCCCTCTCTAAATTAGGATAAAGTTACTCAAGTTATTGAGACATTAAATAGATTAATTAGGTGATGATTGAGGATAATGAACACCTGCTGTTATTAAGCAGAAACAGAAGAGAAACACAAAACTACCACTGACTTCAATCATAGCCTTAAGCTGCGGTCACACTAGACTTTGAGCTTGCGAAATTCTGTCATACGGCTCTGCGAAAAGGAGCGAGATTAAACAAGATGATTAGACATTTAAAAAGCGAGCGATTGCTCCATATTTTAAATTTCTGTCCAGAGAGGTCATGTTTTGATCCTCGATTGGTCTCAAGCAGTTAAGTGATGCGATTTCGCAGGTCAGAGTTCACCAAGCTTGAACTTTGCACCGCAGCAACCTCCAATACTTGACGCATGACCCTGCGTTTCCTGACGCATTCGCGTGTGTATGAATGGAAGTCTATGGGAGGAAAAGCCCAGAGTGACCGCAGCTTTAGACGAAATCAGCTAAAATAAAATACATTGAATCTCTCAAAATCTCAGCAGAGAATCAACTCAATTAATAAGCAACTCCACAAACAGCAGCTTTACTTATTAACCTGTTTGCCTTATTATAAAGTGGGACCAAGTATTCTCTGAACTAAGAGGGTTTTGCTGTGTATATTTATTAATATAACTTCTTGTAGTACACTTTTTGCAATAAACATTTTTATTTAGTTTATAGACCTTGTTCCTTTTAGTGAAGAAGTTATGGATATATATGTGTGCATTTTAACTTCTTATGCATTAAACAAGCGCTGCTAAATCTTTCTTGATTGAGACATGTTGAATTTTTCTTCCATCATTTGCAATGTTTCCAAATTGTATTGTTTGTCCTTTATTCTAACCAATTTTTTTATGCTTTATCAATTGTTTTCTCTAAAGCTGCTTCTAACCATGACAAGTCTACACCTTTCGGCCTATAAGAGACACGTTTATGAAGTTATATGCAACATCCTTCATTTATTCCCTTAGGTAAGGAGAGATCTCCCCTTAAGTATGATACTTGGAGTGAAAATATGCTTAATGCATTATAAAGCTTGGAGCATCAGAATCGGTACTCAGTATCAGTCAATCATCATGACAAAGAATCGATAATTGGTATCAGCTGCAAAACTCCTAATCGGAGCATGCCTAGTTATTATAAGTGTTATTTTAGTAACTAGTAATTCCTAGTAATGGTCACTCTTAACTCCACTAAAGCCACGTGTTCAGTGTCAAAGCCTCCTCATACCTGCCTTGCCTGTTGGGCAGAGACTTCAAATACTCCAAGTGGCGGATTGCATCTTCCTGGTTGTGCCTTATATAGTAAACTAAATAGGAAATAACCATCGTAAACCACCCGAACATGGTTATCAGCATCGCCACGTCAGTAGTCCTCCTGATGGTTGCACAAAAATCCAAATCAGTCGCCACCAGGATGAAGGGCAAACCCTGAGCCCCCAGCTCTTGGGGTTCAGAAGAATTGCACATAACCTCAGCAAGAGACGACGGATCCAGCAGCAGCTGTGGCATTGCCAGCTGCAGGCGGCAGTCACACAGCCAGCGGTTTTGAGAGAGGTTAGTCTGCGCTCTGAGGTCGCCGAACGCCCCGGGGTCCAGTGTCTCCAGTAGATTAGAGGAAAGATCCAGGCTGCGCAGAGAGTCTGCAAGGTCTCGAAAGGCTCCATGCTCCAAACCGACCAACCGGTTGTGGGAAAGATCCAGTTTGAACAGCAGCGGGAGCCCTTTGAATGCATCGGACGGTATGGTGAGCAGCAAATTGTTGTCTAGGTATAGATGCTGTGTGGTGTTGGGAAGGTCACGTGGCACTGCAGTTAAGTGCATGGAGCTGCAGTGAACCACCAGGCCACTGTTGATACCCTCAGTGCAGAAACAGCTCTCAGGGCATTCTTCGTGGTGGGAGTCAGACACACACACATCCAGTTGATACAAAAAAAGGGTGAGAGTGAGAGAAAGGCAGCTGGCCATGGGATGGCAGCCCATCATGCCCTCCCAGAGGAAGCAGATCGGGCCCGAACATCAAGCTCGAAATAAAGAGAGAAGAGAAGCAGTCATTACAACTGACAGCCTGCTATCGGTGCGCTTTGCTGATTGCAGAGTTATTTAGAGGGTAAATGGGCACTTGTTTGGTTAATCGCCATCGGGAAACTGCTTGTTACGACGCAAACTTGGCTGCAATCTTCAGATGTGCAGGGACGAGAAAGAAATAATAAGGGAAACTGTGTATATGTATGCAGTTTTTTTTTTTTTTTTTTTGCTGTGTTGGGTTTTATTGTATTGTTTTTCAGTGTTCACAAATTTTTTGCATTCAGTAATGTCTACTGTAATAATATCCCTATACAAATACTTAGAGCGTATGTGTGTGTGTGTGTGTGTGTGTGTGTGTGTTAAATATCAGGACACAAATCTGTGTAATGACATGGGGTTGACACAAGGAGGAATTGACTTGTGAGGACACTGCTAGTGTCTCAGTTTTTCCTTTTTTTTAGATCTATTAAAGATTTCTAACGTAAAAAGTAAAGGGTTAAAGTATTCTACAGTATTAAAAAAATACAACTGAACCCACATAATGTCCCCATAATTCCCAAAAACAAGCCTGTGTGTGCTCATGTCTCTGTTATTTTTTTAGATTTTGGGCTTTTAAGGTTTTCAAAAAGGGTAAAACACAATAAATAAAGAATAAAGAAAACTGCCTAAGCATACTTTTAAGTGTTATATTTGTTGCACTTTACCAAATAGTGTTTGAAGATTTTGTTTAAAATTTGTATTTTTAAAGGTCGTTTTCTCAAAATGGGTATTTTCCTCCTTTGCTAAGCCACAAATCTCCTCTTCAGGTAGCATTTCCATAAACCAAGTTTGACAGATTTATTCATATCTGTATATTCTAAAGGGTTTTTTTTTACAGTGGGATATTTTCAGACAAAATTTGCCTGACTAAATACATTTATTGAACAGATTTTGTTTACTTCTTTTTTTATGGATCACTTATATTCTCAATCATGATTGAAAATCCTTTCTGTACAAACGGTTGACTGTAATATGTCAAAAAACAAGAATATTTATCCGGACTTCATCCAATGTTCAGATTTTTTTGTGCTAGAAATGTATGCAAATTAATTCAAATTTGATTAAATTATGCCCCATTTGAATATTCAAATAACGTTTTACAAAACTTGTAACAAAAAAGTGGTCTTTCATAACATTATCAATAAACTGTGGAAGTCTGATGAAAACTATTACCTTTAGTTTTACCCTTTTGAACTGCAGTGTCTTGCCATCAAACTAATTCAAAAGATTCAATGCAGCAGTGGAAAAATTTAGGGATGTACAAAAAGTGGTTGCATATAAAGCTTAGAAACTTAATAAAAAAGGTAATATTTACCTGACAGAACAGATGAGAAATCCCGTAAGGACTGTTGTTGTGGTTTTTACCGCATAAGCACGCTGTATTTGCCGTGTTGCGCCTATTGCCTTCTAACTTTTCATTGATGATTATTTGTCGTTTATTTAGTATGCTCGAACCGCCGGTATGCGACGTCTCTTCACCACCGAAACAACGAATCCAAGATCGCCATTAAACACAAATTAAACGAGTCCAAGTTAATCCCTGTAGTAGTGGAAACCAACTTTACCGCAGAGGAGCATTTGATTTCTGGTCTGGTTTTTGGAGCAATGAAGCTTCCCTGAGACACAACACAAGATGGCGCTGCGCTAACGGGTAATATTTCAAAAATGACAGTTGAGTTGACGTTCCTCCTTGGCGTATTTATTTGCATAGAAAATCACTGCAGCTAACCCTGCTTGCTCAACTTACAAGTTATTTATTAACATATTATCACATTGACAACATTAACACATTGGTAATCGCCTAATAAATAAATAGAACTAATAACTTAAATGTTGAGATACCTTTCCCCCCTACAAACTAGTAATAATGTCTATTATTGTCTATAGACTTGATCGGTGTCGTCAAACCTACACTAATAAAAAGTATGTTTGCTGTTTGTTTAAACTACTTATTTAAAAATGAGCTGAATCAACACAATTTTTGGATTTTTTTTTTTTTTTTTTGCAACGTCTTAATTGTTTTGTTTTCAATGCACTTACATTTATATAAATAAACTAATAAGTAAACTTAATTCCTTCCTGTTGTCCCAACAGAAATCGATTGTATGGAGCTCAGCATTTTCACATTGCACTGTATATTCAACATTTAGTAGCCTATTGCATTTTGTTGTTGTTGTTCATTCTTCCATTTTTTCCCTTCGGATTAATCTCTTTATTAATCAAGGGTCACCACAACGGAATGAATCACCACCAGTTGTTGCTGTTGTAGTTGTTAATTATTGTTTTTAGGTTATGTAAAATTTTATTATAATATTGCATGCCAATTTTTGTAAGCTGAACAGAAATTTTTGAAATTCTTAAGGCTTTCTATTTTTGTAGGATTTTTTTCTCAAATTTTGTTATTCCTGTTTGCTAAAAAATCACATAAATAAGTAAATAAATAAATAAATAAATAAATACATTTCTAACAATGTATTTTTGTCTTGTTTTTCATTTACTTCAGATATTAGCGTAAGATTTTATTTTGAATCAAAGTTAAGTCACAGTTTGTTTAAAAGAAGAATAAAGAATAAATAGTTTACATCTGCCAGTGGCATGTGAAAAATAAACTGAATTCAAAGGGAAAACAGGTTATTATTCTTACCTGGTAGAATTAAAAAAAACCTTTTAAAGGATATTTCAGCTAAATATCAAAACAGGCTCTTCGCTTGCCCTGAAGTGGTTCCAAATCTTTACGAGTTTCTTTTTCTGTTAAATGCAGAAGTTATTTTGAAGAATGTAGTCAGTGGCTACTACTTTACAACATTCTTCAAAATATCTTCTTTTGTGTTTATCAGAAAGAAAGAAAAAAATCTCAAAAATGATTTGGAACCAATGAGCAAATTGTGACAGAATTTTAAATTGTTTGTGAAATATTCCTTGCTTAATTTTTCATGAAGCAAGAGCTTAAAATAAAGATGTATAGCAAAGCAACAATTTACGTATAATACATTTCATTAAGTCAGTAGAACTATTTTGACATGTCTCTTTCCCCAACTAGACCATCACAAATCAGTCAATAAGTTTTTGAAACATTGTGACTCCACCTCCTTTATTTCAGTTCAAGTATATGATTCAAATTTGCTCTAGAAACATGGAGCAAATGAGCATAAATATTAGACAGAACAAAACAAACAAACTAATGATTTTGAGGCAAGGCACTGCAGGTCAAAAGAGTAAAACATTAACTCACAGATATCACTGTACTTCCCTGTTTGATCGATTATATTACCAACTGTAAGCACTTTTTGTTTTACAAGATTTTTAAAATACTGTTAAAATATGCAAACGAGGCATTGTTAAATTAAATATGCACTTATTTGCATTTCTAGCACAAAAATCAGGTTGAGAATGTTGGAATATATATAAATTCTGTAAAACCCAACAGTCAACTTTATCGAATGAAATGAGTGTGGTTAACTCAAAGTTGACTAAAAGTTTATTCTACTCATTTGAAAAGTTTTGAACTGTTGAAGGTAATGAGTTAACAAAATACCTCATTAATCCAACTGAAATAGAGTAAGTTCAAAATACTCATATAGTTTTGTAGTAGGTTTGTTGCAATCAGTTTCCTCAAACAGTTTGAACTTATTGGGTTTTACACTACTCAGTTGGTTTGAGTTCTCTTCATTTATTGGGTTTTACTGTGCTCAAATTACTTCGTTTACTCAATTGGATTGAGTTCACAGTACTCATTAGTTTAGTTTTTGAACCTAAATGATTTGTTGCAGTCGGTTTTCCAAATGGTTTAAGTTACCTGAACTTTTGGGGTTTTACGGTTTATATATAAAATCCATAAGTAAAGTCAAAATATTGATAAAAATAGTTTTTTGTCTGCAGTGTCTTGCCTTTAAGCAATAATTCACCCAAAAATACTTACTATTTACTTACCATTAGGTGGTTCCAAACTTTTATAAGTTTCTGTTTTTTTCTGCTGAACACAAAAGAAAATATTTTGAAGAATGTGGAAATCACCATAAACAAATATCATGCATGGGATAAAATGCAGGGTTCCACACAATTACTTTGTGTTGTCCTAACACAAATCGATTAATTTAATTTTACACTTTTAACAAATTTATGTGGATTGAACATAAAAAAGTTGTCCCAATGAAATCTCAAGAATCTTGTTGTTTTAGCTCATTTTAAATTAGTTTGAACAAGTAAAAAAATATAATTTATTTGAGTGTGGAAGTCATTGGCTTTCAACATTTTTCTAAATATCTTCTTTTGTGTTCAACAGAAGAATGAAACTCAAACATTTGCAACACAGAGGAGTAAATAAATTATGAAATAAATTAATTATTGGGTGGATTATTCCTTTAATTTAATCAGACGAGTTCATTTCATCACACGGTCTACAGCGAGTTATTATAGTTTCAAGTCAAGTTCTCAAGTTCACTCAGGTTTTGTAAAATTTCTGATGCAATGCAACCCATATGAAATAATACTACAGTAATTTATAGTAAATACTACAGTGTTTTTGAACCACACCATCCAGTTTTCTACAACTCTAAGCATATGCTACAATACACCACAGATTACTATAGTAAAACTAAAGCATTCCAAAATATTTATTACAATTATCAGTTCACTATAGTTGATATGCCGAAGCATTAAAATTCTATTCAATTAATGTTTATTTCTATATCGCTTTTACAATGTAGATTGTGTCAAAGCAGCTTAACATAGAAGTTCTAGTAAAGTGAAATTCTGTCAGTGACGTGTCAGTCCAATAGCTATTGTGAATACTATACTGTGTAATACACTTTACTATTATACAGTAGTATGGTTCATAAACAATGTAGGCTTAGTAATTCACTATAAATTAATAATATTGTTTATATGGGAAAGTCATCCCAATTGCACATCTGCAAAACAGACTTTAAAAAGGTTTTACATCCTTGTCAGTGAAGCCTGTATTGTTTATTAAACCAACGTCTTGAGTGCACATCAGCATTAAGATCTCTTCCACTTGTGGAGATCATCTGCGTTTTCCTCCAGCACCGCCTTCACATCTCCCAGCGCGATCATCAGCTGCGCCAGGTAATACGTGACCATAATAATGTGCCTTTTGTATTCAGTATCGACTACGTTGAATTTTGTGAGCGCAATGGTGAGGTCTGAGGCCATGAACACCAGGCTGCCCAGCAGGATGAGCGGCCGGCGGGTGCGAGCCGCCATTGTGGCCATGATGACGATGAGGAGCACATAACCTCCGATGGCGGGAACCAGGACGTCAGCTTCTGGATCCAGCTGCAGGAAGGGCATTAGGTAAACGTAGATGCCAACGCCGAACAACCACAGCACCAGGTAGAGGAAGAAGAAGGAGAAAGATGAAGATGTTGAGGAGTATCGAGAGGACAGGAAGGTCACTGAGTACAGCAAGTGGGCCAGAGCAAAACAGCCCATTCCTGGGGGAGAAAGCAGACAGAATACTGAAATACAACTCCCAGCGGGAAACTTGATGTTAAAACTATATCAAATTGACGTCATGCATGACGTCAAAACTGATTGATTTGACATCTACGCGTTGATTACTCTTTGACCCAGAAGCAAACAACACAAAAAGTGTTATAATAGCCTATAGGAAATGTTTAATTCATCATAAAGCTTCAATTACAGATTTACACTGTATTTTGCTTCCATAATGCATGTGTACCTTGATGTCAAAACCACATCAAATTGACATCAAGCATGACGTCAATAAAACACGTCAAAAATGCGAATCGATTTGATGTCAAAACCTTAAAGGTGCAGTGGGTGATTGTTTTTAGAAATATTTTTATTGTAATGATTAGTAATGGGGTGACGCGGTGGTGCAGTAGGTAGTGCTGTCACCTCACAGCAAGAAGGTCACTGGTTCGAGCCTCAGCTGGCAGTTGGCATATCTGTGTAGGGTTTGCATGTTCTCCCTGCAATTGTGTGGGTTTCCTCCGGGTGCTCTGGTTTCCCTCACAAATCCAAAGATATGCGGTACAGGTGAATTAGGTAAGCTAAATTATTCGTAGTGTATGTGTGTGAATGAGTGTGTATGGATGTTTCCCAGTGATGGACTGCAGCTGAAAGGGCATCCTCTGCGTAAAACATGTGCTGGATAAGTTGGCGGTTCATCTGTGGCGAGCCGAGATTGATAAAGGGACTAAGCCAAAAAGAAAATGAATGAATGATTGAATGAATGAATGAATGAATGAATGAATGAATGATTGGTAATCAATAGTAATGATTAAAGTAAATGATCTAAATGTATTTATATGTATTTTTATATTCTGGGTAAGGCATAAGACTAAAAAATGTTGATCCAACTAAATATTGTTGTGCTGATAATTCCTGTAATTCTGATAAGTAGCCCAAACCGTCTGTCAGCAAATGTAGATTTGAACAACTGTGCACCTCTGTTCACGCAGATCCGCCGATGAGTGTCTACACTGGCTGCAGTCATGAGGATTCAGGTGACAGCTCTAAAAACAAATGCTTAATCAAAACTTTTTAAAATCCTGAATCAATATTGGAGATACTTTTGCTTGCTGGAGAAAGGACGACACCATGGCTGAAGTATTTCTTTTAGACAGGTAATGTTCTGTTTTAAAAGTATTTTAGTCCCACAGAGCTGATTGTGTTGTTTTATGAATGGGTTATATACACAGAAGTGCCGTATAACCACTGAAATTTCCGACGATAGATTGATGTGACTATTTTCAGTTTCAAAGGACCTTTTACAGCATCGATAATGTAGATTTTTATTCAGTTTAACAACAAAACATTAGTAAATAGCGCTATTCAGCCTAGCCCGTTTACTGGGGTGAAGTTGGTTTTATATTCACGCCATATTGGTTCATTTTTGAACAATGATAAGCTGTGACCTGCTCTCTATATTGTTTACTGTGCTACTTTGAACATTCGGTCTGAATTAACAGTACGGCTTAGTAATAAGTGATTACTGCAGCCCATCGGCCAGTCACTAAGCATACAGTAGTGGCTTTGGTGTGAGAGAGTGAGACTGATGAGAGAGTGATGTCAAGTTTTGCTTGCTAACTAACTGAAAACGTGCTAGATATAACAGTTTTTCGATCAAAATTGTAGTATTATAAAGTACTATAAAGTTTTCTAACTGGCGAATGACATGATCTTGTGGGTCTCTGTCATCTTTAATGTGCGTGTTCGCGATTGAGAAGGCGTGGCTTTGGATGCCAGGGGAGGGATTGTAGCCTATTTGAAAGATGTTATGCTAACCGGTTAGCATTCAGGCAGATCACCTGCTGCACCTTTAACATCCATTTGACATCGACACATTGAAGGCATTTCAACCAACAAAATAATGACACAAAAGATATTATAGCCTAAAATAAAAAAAAAAACATTGAACTAACTGACATTTAACTAAGCTTTTACTCAAATTAAAATGAAAACGCAAAACATAAATGTAAAAAATGAACAAAAACTAAATTTAAACGGCGACAATGACAAGAAATTATATTAAAATGATGTAGAAAATCAATATAATTAAATATATTTTCAATATTTATGAATATTAAATAATTACATTAAACGTTTACTAAGCAAAACTAAAACCACAACTGAAATGAGTTGTTTTAGTGAACATAAAAAAAACATTTATTGAAGATAAAGTATTAACTTATTTTATTTTAGTCTAGTTTACAGGAAAATAGTTCGTAATTTAATTTAACCTGTAAGAAAATAGCTAAAATAAATAAATGAATTAAGGGTACTAAGAAAAGATTATGAAATATATAAAACCGCTATAAAAGTTACTATAAACTTACTGAATTAAATGATCAAACTAACTTTAATTAGTTTTTTATAAAAATTATAACTGGGATTCTCATAATCATTACTAATGACTTAACAATACAGAAAAAAGGTCTATAAGACAGCTAATTAAGGTATACTTAGTCTAATTACAGCTAAATAATTAGTATAATTATATTAATGACAACAACTAACATATTATAAATAACTGTGTTTATTTTATTTATTTATTTTGCTTTAATGTGAGAGGAAATTCCCATGTAGTTGATAAAATAAAATCAATCAATCAGTCAATAAATGGTCTTAACGTACCGGCTTCCTAAACAGAAGTCTATTATTTTCCTCTTGATTTGAGGGCGACTTATGACCTGTACATGTTCTCGATAGGCTCTGTCAATAACCCTGATTATCTCAAGCTAAGATATGAGACACAGAAGAAACAACCTTTACCATGAATAAAAAGTTCAGGCCAAATTAGGCAACAGTCTCCGCCCGCTGACAGCAGCAGCCCTCCGGCCACGCCCACCAGACTCCACCCCCCATTATAACTGAGCACCAGAAGGACCAGAGAAAGGATGGGGGCCGCTTTAATCCCCGCGGCCAGAAGAGACGGGGCCGAATCTGGGATCCACAGGTAGAAGTAAAGAGTGCAGGATGCAATGAAAGGCAGGAGATACAGAAGCAGAACACACCACTGGAAGAGGAAACGGCAAATATTAGTCAGTGCACAGTATCACACTGCTTTTACGAAACATTAAATGCAATTATCTCCGTTATGAAGATATTTACACATGATTTAAGTGCTTGATTTAGTCATGAATGACTAAATTTGGATCTAAGTGAGTTACTGGATGTGATAAAAGTGCACCAATAGACCTACATGATCTCAAAAAACGACTTGTGCTGTTTGTTCAAACTACTTTTGAAGTTAACTAGTTAACATAAGTTCGGCAGTGGGACCACACCTCACTTTGCCTCTTTAACCTACTCCCTAAAAATTATTTAAGGCAGACCTGCCCTCAAGCACTTTTCTTCTTGCTCTCTTGAACCCACCCTCTCGCCCTCTATTTCCTTGCTTCACATTAATAATCCCCTCTAGGTTGAATCTAGCGTTCTAATCACTGTACCAAAATATTACAGAGATGGTACCCCCACTCTTAGTCTCTGGGCATCATCGTAGGATGCTCGATCAACCTACCTATCTGTTTATTTATTCTCTTACTTCCGTACCCCTTCATCCCACTGTTCCTTTACCACCCCTTTTCATCCCTACAATAAAGTCAAGCTCAAGATGTGGTGTGGTCCATGCTGGTGAAATTTAAAATGAGTTGAAACAACACAATTCTTAAAAAAGTTTTTTGTTCAATCTACCTAAATTTGTAAAAACGATGAAGTTAACTTAACCAATTTGTGTTGGGACAACAGAAAGCAATTTTGTGGAACCCTGCATTTCTTGTAGTGTAGGCAGAATGCATGTCTGCTCTCAAAAAATGAAACCATAAGTGTAAAGACTTAATTATTCATTAATATTACTTGTTTTTCTTTAAAAGTTAATAATAAATAAATTAGCAAGCCTCGGCTGGGCCAATTGGCATTTCTGTGTGGAGTTTGCATGTTCTCTGCATATGAATGAGAGTGTATAGGTGTTTCCCAGTACTGGGTTGCAGCCGGAAGGGCATCTGCTGCGTAAAGCTTAAACTTTTCCCATTCACTTATTAAACACTTGCTGGCTGCATCCTAAGTGGGATATATCACCCTGCAAAGGGCACTTCGGAGTGAAAACAATCATGGCTGCCATCTTGAAGTGTCATTCCAAATTGAAGTGCACTTTGAAGGGCCACCCTTTGGCATAAAGTATTTTGAAGGGTACAACTGATGCATACTTCGGGCCCCCATGATCCAAGTGCAGGGAAGCTCATTCCTACTAATCTGTCACATGATGATGATCCCTTCTGAATGGCAACGAATGACTTTGGGTACATTTCAGTCTGAAGGACTCGTCCCTATACCCTGAATAGGAATGAACTCTTATGAATTGTGTGAAGTGTGCGACTCCAAACAGCTTCCCTGCTCAAAGCATAATTTCCTGAGGTGTTGTGCTTTTAATAATTCCTTACATTTATATAGCACTTTTCTGGATACTCAAAGCACTTTGCACATTTTTCGGAGGAATCTCCTCATGCACCACCAGTGTGCAGCATCCACCGGGATGACACGACGGCAGCCATATTGCGCCAGACCGCACACCAAACACCAGCTAATTTGTGGAGAGGAGACAAGTTTTAGGAGACCATGATTGACAGAGGCCAGTGGGCAAATTTCGGCCAGGATGCCGAGGTTAAAACTCTACTCTTTTTTGAAAGACATCCTGGGATCTTTTATCGAGAGTCAGGACCTTTAACGTTTTATCTGAAAGGCTAATCAGTATAGAGTCCCCATCAACATATAGGGCTACGTTTTCGGAATGAGCCTATGTTGGGGATTACACTTAATCTGTGCATTCCAGATATAACTGTAAACAATCATGGCTGCCATATTGAAAGGGCCGTTTGGGATGATGGGTACAACTGATCAACTGATTAGGCTTATCCCTATACCTTAATCCCTTTAAATCTGTCACTCTGGAGGGTAAACCCCTTTGAAGGCATTAGGGCATGAGGATGTGCTCTTCCAAATATGCCCTCTCCTAACTATTCATCCACTACCCAGTTAGCCTAAAGCAGCAAAAATTATTAATGTAGTCCCAACACAAAATAATGAAGTTAACCTAACGCAGAAATCTAAGTAGATTGAAGGTCATTCAGTGTCAAAAATATGCAAGAATTGTTTTGTTTAGGCTCATTTTAACCCAGCCATTTTAACAAGCAGCAGAAATTAATATTTGTAAATATGTATAGTGTATAGAGTGTGTTTGCGCTCAGATGTATGTTTGCTGTGATTACCGTGTTTCTGCGTTGTCTGCGGTCGTAGGCACTTGTTTCCAGGATGTCCATCTCTCTTGCCTGTGCTCTCTCACAGGCTCATAAAGGCAGCGTTTCAGATGTTTCCTCCAGCTGATAGACCTGCAATGCCTTTCTCCACTGTATGTGTGCCAGTGTGCTTCATTGGCTGGGGCAGGACTGGACTTTGGACCATTATGAGTGATGCGTTATCTGTCAAATTGTTCTGCCATAAACAAAGTACACCCCTCACTCTCTCTCTCTCTCTCTCTCTTCTGCCTATGCTTCTCTCTGCATTATGGCCTATTACCCTGGACTGACATCATCGGTCAGAGCAAAGGTTTGATGATTGAGACACAAGTTCAGGCAGATAAACGTTCTGTTTTTGAAATTAATGATAGGAAATGAGCTCTCTCGCTTTGTTTTCTGGCATTTTAGCTTCTTTTATTCACTTTCTGATGTCTACGTGGGTGTCAGAGTAAAGACAGACACTCAAAGTTTTGAATTGTAATCATGTAGTTACCTATAGTTTGGTCTTTGCTATTAAAATATAGAGATTATTATTATATAAAAAAATAGGGAATTTTCTTAACATGTATTGATCATTAGATTTAACTATAGAAAACAGTTCTGAAGATATTTTATTATGATCACGCAAATGAGGGTACCACAGAAAATTTATAAAAGCATATATAATTTGATATAATATAATATCATATAATATAAATGACATTAATTCTATTCATTTTAAATGTAAAATGTGAGATTTTTTCTGTATAATTTAGACACAATATAATACAATTGTTATATAAATAAATATATATATATATATAAATTATTAATAAATATAAACGATAATAATAATAATAATACAATAAAGAACTAAACCTAAAGAACTAAACTTGTTGAATTTTAGCTTTCTTCTGGTTGTCCAGGATGTATTACTGTACTACATTAATTAAAACAAAAAAAAAAAAAAGGGGGGGGGGGGGGGGGGCTACATATGTATGGAGCCAGATCAGTCTTAAAAATAATACATTTACTAAATAAAAAATGTATACTTACAAAATCCAATTTGTAAACACACAACTAAATGTGAATTGGGTGTTGAACTTACGGACTGGATTTGTGTATTTTTGAATCAGGTTTTAAATTTGTGAATTAGATTTGTGTATTTTTTAATCGGGTTTTGAATTTTTGAATTGGATTTGTGCTTTTTTTTTCGTATTTTGAATTTGCGTCTTCAATTGGGTAGGCTAAATTGTCCGTATAGGGTATGCATGTGAGTGTATGAGTGTGAATGAGTGTGTATGGATGTTTCCCAGAGATGGGTTGCAGCTTGAAGGGCATCTGGTGCGTAAAACACGTGCTGGAAAAGTTGGTGGTTCATTCCGCTATGACGACCCCGGATTAATACAGGAACTAAGCCGAAAAGAAAATGAATAAATGATTTGTATATTTCGGAATAAAGTTTTGAATTTATGAATTGGATTTGTGTATTTTTAAATCATATTTCATTTCATACATATGGAGCCATTTAAAAAAAAAAAAGAGTTTCAGAGTGTCTATTTTTCTCATGAGAATAATATCTCTTATATTATTACAATACCCCTTTAAAACAACCAAACGATAATGGATTCACACACAAAAAGTCTAATCATTAACACTCAGCTCGACATGCACTTTAACCCGCTCCATCCCATAATCTCCAAGTTCAAACAGCGAAAGCAGAGAGCGACGGGCACCCAGGGAGAAAGAGACAAAGAAAATAGAGAAAAGGTGAGGAATTAACCGGTGAGTGAAGGCTGTGTGGAGACACTTGATCGATTAGATCAGCGCGATAAAAGATAAAGGAGAAACATGTACTTGGACATCGAGACAGAGGTGGAGAAAATGAAAAAGGGGGAGGAGCCATAGACTGAATCAAGTGCACGAGAAAAAATAAAAGAAAGATCTGTTCTAGCGTGTTGTTGTTTTAAAGCATACAATAGTTGTTATATAGTTCTTATCAATAAGTTCTCTGAACTAATTTTGCAGACCAGTATAGACATTCAAGAAAAGAAAAATGTTATGGTTCACCTGCTGAATCCCTGTTTTGCTTTGTAGATATGGCTGACAAAGCCTTAAAGGTTGGAATTGTTGGATACGGACATTTAGGTGAGTTCTCCAGACTTGTGTACAGCTAGCTAATGGCACATCAGACATATAAGAGCTTCAATTTTACTGTGAATGTTACTATTTTTTTATTCCTGTGATACTAAAGATGCTAAGACCTTTATTTTAGCATGTTGATGTACTTCTAATTGAAAGTAAATATTGAGTGGGGGGCGTGGCTTTCTTCTAGCACATCCTAACAACTATCTGTAAGAGAGGCGTGGTTAAGAATGTTCTCAAACTGACATCATCAGAAATAAAAAAAAAAACAGCACTCCAAATGCAGAAGCAAATGTCTGATTGAAGATTACTAAACTTTTTCTTTTTTTTTTTTTTTTACAGTGGATTAACTTGTACACATTGCTTCCCTTTAGACAATCTGTGCAAGAAAATAAATATTGTACATTTTGATTTCACACAGACTTTAAACATGAATTATGCGTATCCCATTCATTCATATTTGTTTTTCAGACCGTTTGGACAATCATTCATGAAAAAGTTTTTTTTTTTGTTTTGTTTGCTAGTTGTCTTGTCTAACCACATGTTCAGAAAACATTCCAGTGGTAGCCTAATGTTCCATAATGTATGCAAATCAGAAATAAATGTTCTTTTAACGTTTTTAATATAAAAATAAAAATCCATACAGTAATAAGGTCTTAGGATTTGCACAAGAATATATCAGCGGATCAGTGTTAAAGGTATAACACGGTATAAGTAAAGTGAGTTATCCTTAGCAACTAGTAACATATTTTTAAGACTTAATGTGTTGTGAACGAAGTATGAACAAGATAATTACTGCATGAATAGGCATCACGGTAGCGCAGTGTTTAGCATGATCGCCTCACAGAAAGAAGGTTTCTGGTTCGAGCCTCGGCTGGGTCAGTTGGCATTTCTGTGTGGAGTTTGCATGTTCTCCCCGTGTTGGCGTGGGTTTCCTCTGGGTGCTACGGTTTCCCCCACAGTCCAAAGGCACGCGCTATAGGTAGATTGGGTAGCTAAATTGGCCATATTGTATGTGTTTGAATGTAAGAGTGTATGGGTGTTTCCCAGTGTTGGATTGCAACTGGAAGGGCATCCGCTGCGTAAAACATATGCTGGAAAAAGTTGGCGGTTCATTCCCCTGTGGCGACCCCAGATTAATAAAGGGACTAAGCCGAAAAGAAAATGAAGGAATGAATTACTGCATAAACGTGAGCTTGTATTTACTCACCTCACTTACAAAAGCAAGTTCAGTATATCTCAAAATAAATTAAAACTATCCAAACTCTGAATATTTAATACTGAAGAATTTTGGAATTTCTTTATGTAATCCAGAATATTTTTGTTTGAGCTCAATTGTACAGAGGTGAATTTATATTTTGCCCAGTCTGGGCTTTATTCCTTTCACATTTTGTGTAAAAGGGCCTCATATTTATTAAAAAAAAAATTGATTTGTAGTTTAAATATATATATATATATATATACACACACACACACACACACAAACACACACACACACACACACACACACACACATTTATAAACAAGCCACCTCAGCCTAGACAGAAAAGAAAAAAAAAACACAAAAGTAACAAGCTTGGCATTACTTCTCTTAAGTAACTAGATTTAGTAAATGTTTTAAATAAATAATGCTACATTGTAATAATTTACTTTTAAAAGTAGCTTTTCCCAACACTCCAGCTGACAGACATTGTTCATACAGTATGTCTCTCTGATTTGCAAAGTGATTTTCTAAGCAGTTTCTTTCTTTAAAATAGGGGAAAATGATTTTTTGATGCAATAAAGAAACTGCGTTCAAAACCAAACATAAACCACTGGTGGAAAAATCATGGAAATTAATTAATTGTTCAAAAAGTAAACTGCAATTACTCTACCAATTCATGTTTTGTCAAACCAAGCTGGTTTTAATCTTTGTCTCCTTGTTCAGGACAGTTTCTTGTTGAGAAGATCCAGAGTGAAGGCGCTGAAGTGGGGCTTCAGTTAGCATTCGTGTGGAACCGAAATGCAGACAAACTGAAAGATTCACTGCCCAAAGATCTCATTCTTCATGACCTATCAGATTTCACCCAGAGGTAAAATTGTTATTATTTTTTGTATAATCATGCGTATTTGTTTAAAATGGAGGAGAGCAAACAGAGTGAGTTAAAGAGATCAACAAAAGTTGTTAATATTTTCTCAACTTTTACTTGTCACAAATTTTATCTTCTGAGTTTTTGTCCTCTGTTGAACACAAAAGGTGTTTTGAAGAATGTTGGAAAATGTTAACATTTGACCTTTATTGTTTTTGTTTTTTTCTACTATGGAAATCAATGGTTACTGGTTGTCAATATTCTTCAAAATATCTACTTTAGTGTTAAACAGAAAAAAAGAAATGCATAAAGGGTTACTTCAAAAAATGCAGGGTTCCACACAATTCATTCATGTTGTCCCAACACAAATTAGGTTAACTTAAAAAATTGAAGTGGACTGTACATAAAACAATTAAGTTGTCATCAAAGTTTTTACATATATTTGGTTGTCTTCTTGTGTATTGCAATTGTGTAATTGTTCTATTATGGTATTTATTTACTCAGTGTTAAAAACAAACTTCCCCTCTGTACCAAAACAAGGACAATAAAGTTTAAGCAAACAAACAAACAAACACAATATCTGATATTGGAGTAGTTTGAACAAGCAGCAAATTATTATAATATTTTTTTAGTGTTTGGAATGATTTGAAGGAAAGTAAACAGCATTTTTTTGTTTTTGGGTGAACTGTCCCCTTAATGTGGCGTACATGTGTGGGTTTGTTGTGTTTCAGAGACACTGATGTAATTGTGGAGGTTTGTCATCCACTGATAGTAAAAGAATTCGGGGTCAGATTTCTGTCGCACGCTCACTTCCTGGTAACTCTGCTGTTTATCTTTGTTTAATCGGCTAAGATCCTGTTTTCATATTTAACTGTATATAGTTGAAGTCAAAATTATAAGCCCTCCTGTGAGTTTCTTTTTCCTTTTCAGATATTTCCCAAATGATGTTTAACAGAGCAAGGAATTTTCACAGTATTTCCTATAATATTTTTTATTTTGGCTAGAATAAAAGCAGTTTTTAAAATCATTTTAATTTCACTATTATTAGCCTCCCTTAGGCGTTTTTTTATTGTCTACAGAATAAACCACCATTATGCATTGATTTGCATAATTAACCTAGTTAAGCCTTTAAATGTCACTTTAAGCTGAATTCTTCTCTCTTGAAAAATATCTAGTCAAATATTATGTGCTGTCATCATGGCAAAGATAAAATAAATCAGTTATTAGAAATGACTTATTTAATTATGATATGCTAAGAAATATGTTTAGAAAAATTGTCTTTCCTATAAACAGAAATTGGGGGGAAATATACAGGGGGCTAATAATTCAGACTTCAAGTACATTTGTTTGATAATGAGTATAAGCCTGGTTATAGCATGTTTTTCCACTTTTTCAGGTGGGCAGCCCTTCTGCACTGTCTGATGGTCAGCTCGAGCAAGATCTCCGCACTGCTGCAAAACAACAAGGAAAAACACTCTATGTGCCCAGCGGTGCATTATGGGGCGGCCAAGATATTCAAAAAATGAATGACAGTGGAACTTTACGGGTGAGTCTATAATTATCTTGACATGAGATTTTAAAGCACTGTATATGGTTTCACTCTGCCTGTCGATAAAAAAGTACAAATTAGCATAATTGGGGGTTCAATTAACCTAAAGTGCCAACATTTGCTCACCCTCTCTGCTGTTGTACCTTTATGACACTTGCTAATCAGCAGAACATAAATTACATTTGTCATATCTAAGAGATTTCTGTCCTTTTAATGAAAGTTTATGCACCCAAAATTGCTTCAAACATTCTTATAGTATTAAAAAATGTATTCAAATGCATTTAATGGTTTGATCCAAATCCATTATTGCTTTATCCTCTTCACAGACACCGCAAAATTATAGTTGAATTATGAATATTTGAAAAAGTTTGTCAAGAAAAGTTCATTTTCTAGTACTGGGTTGCGGCTGGAAGCGCATCGGTGTGTAAAACATATGCTGAAATAGTTGGCGGTTCATTCTGCTGTGGCGACACCTGATAAATAAGAAACTAAGCCGAAGGAAAATAAATGAATAAAGAGAAGTTCAGGTTTAAATCCTTTTTCTGAATATGTACTTACAAAATATGTATTGTGGGGCAGGGAAGTGCTTAAGACAATAAAAAAAAAAACACTTTATAGACATTTATTAGAAAACAAATAATTAAACTTGATTTCCATCTGAGGTGAACCAAGCCCTGAAATTAACGTACCCAGTATAGATTCAACTTAAAGGGATAGTTTACCCAAAACTGCTGAACACAAAAGAAGGTGAACAACTGTACCTATTGTTCCCCTTCGGTTGGGGAACTTCAGTGCCATGAATGAATGGGAGGATTCGGATCAGAAGCCGCTTATCTGGAGAGTATTGAACGGGCCAATGAATGAAATTAATTGGCAGCGTAAGCTTGCGCAGGTGTGCGACATCTGCAATTATCTCAGCATATAAGCACACCTGAAGCCAGCAGACGCCATCCTTTTCGCTTCAGATCCTTTCTGAGTGAGTCGATGAGGGTTCCTCTTGCTGATCAGCACTTCAGAGCGAACGAGTGTGTCTCCCGGTCCAGAGTGGGTCTTCGCGGTGGCAGACGGTCGAGCTGGGTTACTCCCTTGCCTGCGGTTCTTTGGGTCCGGTCCTCCAGAGCGGTGCGTATAGTTGCAACTTTCCTAAAAGAGCAACACAGTCGTGCAGCACGTCCTTTTCAGGATGGCGCTCCGACTGTGCGTTTCTGGATGCGGGGGTTTCCTGTCTCCGGATGATGGACACGATCACTGCATTGCATGTTTGGGGGTCCAGCATGTTAATGCGGTGCTCGCGGGCGGTTCATGTCGTCATTGCGATGCCATGACCGTTGCACAGCTAAGATCGCGGCTAACTTTCGCAAGAGAGCGAGCCACCCCAGTTGCCTCCTGTTCTAAAAAAGCAGCGGGCGCTCGGGCAGATCTGAGGGTTTCAGCGGGAGCTAATCCGCCGCCCACGGGCTCGCGGACCTCTCGCTCCTCACGGCGCTCCATCCAAGCTTCGGGTGGTGAGAGTGATCCGTCTAACCAGATGGTAGCTCTCACACTCGCTGACACCGGAGATCAGATGTCCTCCGCGGCATCGGAGGGTGGGCTTTCACTGTCCGACGAAGATCCGGACCCGCTCGCCCCCTCCGGGCAGGTGAGCGCTGTCAAATCGGATCCTGAAGCGGACATGTTAGCCGTGCTTTCCCGGGCTGCTTCGGCCGTGGGGTTGGAGATGGTTTATCCCCCAGCTCCGCGGCCGGACCGACTAGATGGGTGCTACGTAGAGGACCAGAAGGCGAAGCCTTCGAAGCCTCTCGTCCCCTTCTTCCCGGAAGTGCACAGTAGGCTCACGCAGTCCTGGAGGGCACCTTTCTCTGCCCGTGCTGCGAGTGCCTCCGCCCTCACCGCCCTTGACGGCGGAGCTGCCAGGGGGTATGAGGCGATCCCGTCAGTGGAGCGCGCTATCGCGGTCAATCTTTGTCCGCGCGGCGCCTCTACGTGGCGGGGTTTGCCCCGCCTCCCGTCCAAAGCCTGTAGGTTGTCTGCCTCCCTCGGAGCCAGAGCTTATAAGGCTGCGGGCCAGGCTGCTTCTGCTTTGCACGCGATGGCCACCTACCAGCGCTACCAAGCGCAAGCGCTGGCCGAGCTGCACGAGGGCGGGTCCAACCCAAGCTTATTACATGAGCTGCGCACCGCGACCGACTATGCTCTTCGGACTACTAAGTCCGCCGCGTGTGCGCTGGGGAGGACGATGTCCACACTTGTGGTTCAGGAACGCCACCTCTGGCTAAACCTGGCCGATATGCGCGACGTTGAAAAAGTTCGCTTTCTTGACTCGCCCATATCCCAGGCTGGCCTGTTCGGCGACACCGTCGGTGAATTCACCCAGGAATTCAAGGCGGTGAAAGAGCAGTCGGATGCGATGGGCAATGTCATCTATCGGCGTGGCCGTAAGCCCGCTCCGCCCGCCGAGCCATCCACCTCCGCTGTTCCTCGCCGAGGGCGCCCGCCAACGAGTGCTGCCCCGCCCCCGCCTGCGCCTCCGGCCAAGCGGGCGCGGCGTTCACCTCGAAAGCAGGCAGCCCCTCCTGCCCAGGGCGCCGTTAAGTCCGGTAAACGGACCGCGAAGCGTCCCTGAGACAGGCCATCCGGAGAAGAGGAAACTTGCTCTTTCCCCGCTGGAGGGCGGGGCCCCGATAACAACGGTACTTTTCAGTGCCACCAAAACATCAGTAAAAGAGCACTTTTTCCCTTCCCCGGATGTGACTGCACGAGTTCTGCCAGTCCGGGACGCGCTGCCTTCCGGCTCGCAGACTCTACGTGCTTCGCCAGTGGCTCACGAGCGCTGGGGGGACGGTCTCCCTTCCCTCAGCCCTCCAGCCCCCTCTCCGGAGTCAGGGTGCGGAGCCAGAGCGAATCGCTCTCCTCCAGCTTTTCCGCGGGACCCTCGTGCTTCCCGGATCAGCACACCCACTCCGCGCTGCCCCACCGCTGGTACGTCAGCGATTGTAGCAATGACTCCATTAGCGAGGGCTCTGCCTGCCTGGTTAGCGCGGGCCAGCCCCTCGCGGTGGCTCATACGCACAATCAGACTCGGTTACGCGATTCAGTTCGCGAAACGGCCCCCCAAGTTTACGGGCGTGTATTTCTCCAGGGTCAACCCCCTGTCCGCCCCTGTCTTGCGAGAGGAGATTGCTGCCCTCCTGGCGAAGGGTGCAATCGAGCCGGTTCCTCCAGCCGAGATGGAGAGTGGGTTTTACAGCCCATACTTCATCGTACCCAAAAAGAGCGGTGGGTCACGGCCAATCCTAGATCTGCGCGTTTTGAACCGCTGTCTGCACAAGCTGCCGTTCAGAATGCTCACGCAGAGGCGCATTCTCCAATGCGTTCGTCCTCGGGATTGGTTTGCAGCCATAGACCTGAAGGACGCGTATTTCCATGTCTCCATTCTTCCACGCCACCGCCAATTTCTGCGGTTTGCGTTCGAGGGTCGAGCGTGGCAGTACAAGGTCCTCCCCTTCGGGCTCTCTCTGTCTCCGCGGGTCTTCACCAAACTCGCGGAGGGTGCCCTAGCGCCCCTTCGGCTCGCGGGCATTCGCATACTCAGTTATCTCGACGACTGGCTGATTTTAGCCCACTCGCGGGAGCAATTGGTTATGCACAGGGACGAGGTGCTTCGGCATCTCCGCCTACTGGGGCTTCAGGTCAACCGAGAAAAGAGCAAACTCGCCCCCGTGCAGAGGATTTCTTTTCTCGGGATGGAGCTGGACTCGATCACCATGGTAGCGCACCTCTCCGAGGAACGCGCTCGCCTGTTGCTGAACTGTCTGAGGGAGCTTGACAGCAAACTAGTGGTCCCACTGAAGTTCTTTCAGAGGCTCCTGGGGCATATGGCATCCGCAGCCGCCGTCACGCCGCTCGGGTTGCTCCATATGAGACCACTTCAGCACTGGCTTCACGATCGGGTCCCCAGACGCGCATGGCACGCGGGCACACACCGGGTCTCGGTTACTGCGCTGTGTCGCCGCGCCCTCAGCCCTTGGAACGACCCCTCGTTCCTACAGGCCGGTGTGCCTCTAGGACAGGCGTCCAGCCATGTTGTTGTTTCAACAGACGCTTCCAACACGGGTTGGGGGGCCGTGTGTCGCGGGCATGCGGCTGCGGGCCTCTGGAAGGGTGCCCAGCTGCATTGGCATATCAATCGCCTAGAGCTGTTGGCAGTGTTCCTCGCTCTCCACCGCTTTTTACCGGTGCTGGAGCGGCAACACGTGCTGGTCAGGACGGACAGTACGGCGGCGGCGGCGTATATCAACCGCATGGGGGGTATGCGCTCTCGCCGCATGTCTCAGCTCGCCCGCCGTCTGCTCCTCTGGAGTCACCCGCGGCTGAAATCGCTGCGCGCCATTCACGTCCCAGGCACGCTCAATCGTGCAGCCGATGCGCTCTCACGACAGCTGTTACGCCCTGGAGAATGGAGACTCCACCCCGAGTCTGTTCAGCTGATATGGGCGCGATTCGGGGAGGCCCAGATCGATCTGTTTGCTTCCCCCGAGAACGCTCACTGCCAGTTGTTTTTTTCCCTGACCGAGGGCTCTCTCGGCACGGATGCACTGGCCCACAGCTGGCCTCGGGGCATGTGCAAGTATGCGTTTCCCCCAGTGAGCCTGCTCGCGCAGTTTCTGTGCAAGGTCAGGGAGGACGAGGAACAGGTTCTGCTAGTTGCGCCCCTTTGGCCCAACCGGACCTGGATATCAGAGCTCTCACTCCTCGCGACGGCCCTCCCCTGGCAGATCCCTTTGAGAGAGGACCTACTCTCTCAGGGACAGGGCACCATCTGGCACCCTCGCCCCGATCTTTGGAACCTCCACGTGTGGTCCCTAGACGCGAGGAAGACTTAGGTAACCTACCGACTGCGGTGGTTAATACCATCACTCAGGCTAGAGCCCCCTCCACGAGGCGCGCCTACGCCCTGAAGTGGAGTCTATTCACTGAATGGTGCGTCTCTCGCAGAGAAGACCCCCGAAATTGCCAGATTAGTGTTGTGCTCTCTTTCCTTCAAGAGAAGTTGGACAGCAGGCTGTCGCCCTCCACTCTCAAGGTTTACGTGGCCGCCATCTCCGCTTATCATAGCGCGGTAGCTGGCGGCACCGTGGGAAAGCATAACCTGGTCATCCAGTTCCTTAGGGGTGCTAGGCGAATTAATCCATCTCGCCCCCCTCTCATGCCCTCTTGGGATCTCGCCCTCGTTCTCACGAGTCTGCGATCCGATCCCTTTGAGCCACTCGAATCAGTATCTCTAAGATTTCTGTCCCTGAAGACAGCTCTGCTGGTTGCGTTGGCCTCCATCAAGAGGGTCGGGGACCTGGAGGCATTTTCAGTCAGTGACTCGTGCCTGGAATTCGGGCCGGATTACTCTCACGTTATCCTGAGACCCCGCCCCGGTTATGTGCCCAAGGTTCCTACCACCCCCTTTAGAGATCAGGTAGTGAACCTGCAAGCGCTGCCCCCGGAGGAGGCAGACCCAGCCCTTTCTTTACTTTGTCCAGTTCGCACTCTGCGCATTTATGTGGACCGTACTCAGAATTTTAGATCATCTGAGCAGCTCTTTGTCTGTTATGGCGGTCGGCAGCAGGGAAGTGCCGTATCGAAACAAAGATTATCCCACTGGATTGTGGATGCCATTTCACTCGCTTATTCGAGTCGAGGTCAGCCGTGTCCCCCGGGAGTACGTGCACACTCCACTCGGAGCGTTGCATCCTCTTGGGCGCGTGCACGCGGCGCCTCTCTAACAGACATCTGTAGAGCTGTGGGCTGGGCGACACCCAACACATTTGCAAGGTTTTACAATCTGCGAGTGGAGCCGGTTTCCTCAAGGGTATTAGGTAACCTTTTGGTGATTGAGGAGACAACTCGGTAGGGTGTTGAAACACGCTTGCTGCGCCATTCTCCCTAACACGGAGGTACGTGCGCCTTTTTTATCTGTCAGTAAAGTTCCCCGTTAGGTGAGCCCTGCAGATTCCTCCGTGGCCCCCAGCACTGACTCAGCTGAGGAGTCACTTGCTGGCCCACTACGTTGTAGGTCTGCCCGCTGGTCAGCCCGCGTTTTGGGTATAGGTGCCTGCTATGCGTGATCCCCACTAGGCGATCCCATATGCTTATTCCGCCACGGTTAAGTCCCCCCCCTGGGCGGACCCGTGTCTTCCCTCTCCGCTAACCACTCTTTGCTATGCGTACTCCCCCTTTTTAGGGCTAGTCCATAGGTAAATTCTGCCATCTATCCCCCCTTGGGTAACGGATGGCCTCCGCAGCGTCCTCCCTATCGGGATTGCACGCTTCCCAACGTACTGTCGTATTTCCTAGAATTATCTAGATGCTCACGACTTCCCAAAAAATATATCTAAATCCGTAAAACTTCTGTTGAAGTAGGATAAATTAGGGCCAGGGACACGTTGGAGGACCGCGCCCCCCATGATGTGGGTGCGTCACGCTTGCTTGACTATCTCCTCATCGGGGGTGTTGGTAAGGTGCAGTCATTATGGCGCTTTCCATATTCTCCCATTCATGGCACTGAAGTTCCCCAACCGAAGGGGAACGTTCGAGGTTACAGAAGTAACCCTTCGTTCCCCGAGGAGGGGAACGGAAGTGCCATATTCCGTCGCCATAATGACTGTCCCTTAGCTGTTTGAAAGTCTCTTCAGCTTAAAAGGATGGCGTCTGCTGGCTTCAGGTGTGCTTATATGCTGAGATAATTGCAGATGTCGCACACCTGCGCAAGCTTACGCTGCCAATTAATTTCATTCATTGGCCCGTTCAATACTCTCCAGATAAGCGGCTTCTGATCCGAATCCTCCCATTCATTCATGGCACTTCCGTTCCCCTCCTCGGGGAACGAAGGGTTACTTCTGTAACCTCGAACGATTTCCAGTGTTTGTTTTTCCTTTTATGGATGTCAGTGGCTACCGTTTTCTAACATTCTTCAAAACATCTTCTTTTGTGTTCAACATAAAAAATAAACTCATAAAGGTTTGCAAGCACTTGAGGGAGAGTAAATACGGAGTACATTTCTATTTTAGATAGAAAATAGAACTACACTCAACAAAAATGATTTCTGCTGCTTGTTCAAACTACTCTGTTTAAAGGAGAGGAAACAACACAATTCTTGAGTTTTTGTGTGGGATAACACACTTGTTTCATGTTCAATCTGCTTAGATTAAAAGTTGATCTAAAACCAAAACTTAATCTATTTGTGTTTGGACAATATGAAGGAAATTTGTGGAACTGTTTAGTGTATCATTTTAAATGTCTGGCACAAGTGAATGTCAAACATCTTTCCCCTAGGCTCTCTCCATCCGAATGTCTAAACACCCCTCTTGTTTCCGGCTGACTGGCGGTCTACTCTCTGATTGGACAGAGGGAGAGGGGAGGCGGGTCTTGTATCGCGGCTCAGTAGCAGAGCTCTGCCCAATTGCCCCAAACAATGTGAACACAATGGCAGCAGCAGCCATAGCAGCATCAAAACTGGGCTTCCACGGGGTTACTGGAGAAATCGTTTCAGACACTGCGTAAGTGCTTTAAAGCTAGTCCTCCAGAAAACACCAGAAACGCTCTGTGGTCTGAGTGGGTCCTAGTATCCCAGTATAGTGATGGAGACATACCTTATACCTTATAAATAGTTTTTAAAAAAATACTACTTTATTCCAATCAAGCTAAAAGAAAAAAGACTTTCTGATGCAGAAAGAATACTGGAGGAAATACTGTGAAAATATCCTTGGTCTATTAATGGTCTGATCAATCATATCACATGCTCCTCTTGAAATTAGTTTTTGAACCTGATTTAAACAATCAAGAGCATGTGGTGACTAAAACACATCAATTACTAGTAGCGCTGACAGTGAAACTAAAAGATAAATTTACTCAGATTAAATTTAGCCTGGTTGCAAGCCTGTCTAGCTGCCAAGAATAAATCTCCTAAGTAATTAAATTCAGCCGGGATAGCTTGAAAATTGTCCACAGGATGGCTTGGTATCCAACAATATCACCATCGCTTCATTGATAACGTGGCTTGAGTGACTTAGCATGTTGCCATGTGGTAAAAAAGAAAAATGTAATACTTCAGGTTTGGGTTAAAATTCCTAAGTATGTACAGCTGAAGTCAGAATAATTAGTCTCCCTTTGAATTTTATTTATTTATTTTTTAAATATTTCAGAAATTTTCACAGCATGTCTGATAATATATTTCTTCTGGAGAAAGTTTTATTTGTTTTATTTCAGCTAGAATAAATGCAGTTTTTAGTTTTTTAAAAGGCATTTAAAGGTCAAAATTATTACCTCCTTTAAGCTATATTTTTCCAAACAGAACATTTTTTTTTGTCTACAGAACAAACTATCGTTATACCTTGTATAATAACTTGCCTAATTACCCAAACCTGCCTAGTTCACCTTATTAACCTAGTTAAGCCTTTAAATGTCTCTTCAAGCTGCATAGAAGTGTCTTGAAAAATGTCTAGTCAAATATTATTTACTGTCATCATGGCAAAGATAAAATAAATCAGTTATTAGAAATGAGTTATTAAAACTATTATGTATAGAAATGTGTTGAAAAAAAATCTCTCCATTAAACAGAAATTGGGGGAAAAATAAACAGGGGGGCTAATAATTCTGACTTCAACTATGAAAGCATAAATAGGAACATGAAGCATTGATCGTTTTTCTCTCCAGATTGGCAGACTACCACATTGTGGAAGTAGACGTTACTGGTCCAGATGGATTCTCAGTGAAAACGGTGCGACAAAACCCCGCCAAACTGGGAGCTGTAACAGGAAATGCCACATACAATTCATTCTGGAGCAGCTTACTGGGTATGCGTGTGTAAGAAAGACAGATGGAGTGCTTTTCCCTCAAAGAAAATGTTTGCTGAACAAAAACACCTGACTTTAAAATGATTATATAGCCACTATATATATTATAATATAGGGCAGCACGGTGGCGCAGTGGGTAGCACTGTCTCACAGCAAGAAGGTCACTGGTTCAAGCCTCAGCTGGGTCAGTTGGCATTTCTGTTTGGGGTTTGCATGTTCTCCCCGCGTTCGTGTGGGTTTCCTCCGGGTTCTCTTGTTTCCCTCACAGTCCAAAAACATGTGCTATAGGTGAATTGGATAAGCTAAATTAGCCAGAGTGTATAAATGTGTGTGTGAATGAGCGTGTATAGGTGTTTCCCAGTACTGGGTTGCAGCTAGAAGGGCATCCGCTGTGTAAAACATATGCCGGAATAGTTGGCGATTCATTCCACTGTGGCGACCCCTGATGAATAAAGGGACTAAGCCGAAGGAAAATGAATGAATGAATATAGCCATTTCTTTTGCATTATTATAAACCTATCATCTTTTCTATACATCTTGCTGCATCTGAATATCTGTTTGTCTGTTTTTGCAGTCTGCAAGGGTCACGGAGGGAGAGTATATCTGTGCTGATAACATTGGACTGCTGCAGAAAGTGCACAAGTTAACAGAGGAAAGCGTTAGTGGATGAATGAATTAATAAAACAAGTGTCAAGTCAATAATGTTGTACACTTTAATCTCAGATGTACAGCCGTGATAGACATGACAAACTCAAACAGTGCTGGTGTGGATTTGTTTTACAGTACGGATGATGTTCCAGTGTATTGGTTTGGCTGGCTAGCTTTAGCTACATCGATTGCTTGTCTCGTTCTTTAATAATAACCCTCTAAAGATTGCTGGATAGTCAGTTTTTTTTAGGGGAGACAACATATAATACTGAAAAATAAAGCAGTGAGTATAGCATTGGGAGATTGTTTTAGGACATCACGTCTCTAGTCTTGTAAAACACTGATTTTTCATGCAACACAAAAGAAGAGGTTTGGCTTTTAAACATGAGCACAGTGAAAGTGAATGGTGACCCTGAGTGCTAATAGACATGATTTTCAGGAATTGACGTCTTACATTTGGGTTTGTTATTCATATAAAGATATTAAAGACTTGAAATATATGGACTAATATACATTTATATGGAGAGAGAGATGTATTCGTGTGCGTTTCTTTTTCTCAACAGCACCTGGTCACCATTTATTTATTTATTTTTATATATAAAAGAGCAGAAAGCCTAAAGAAATTATACAAAGCATGTTTTTACTGAAGGGTATTTGTTTTTCTTCTAAGGAATTAAATGTCGCTTTACCATTTATATCTGCATAATTTATTTCTCAATTAGTTTGTAATGAGAAGAAACCTATATCAGTAGCCAAAACACCTTTATTTGTATTATCTTAGCTTTTCAAAGTGGCCATTTGAATATGCACACGCACCATATGAACTGTCACGTATTTAACCCAAGTCACTATTCAATCCTTTGCACTCTGTTAGTTTTTTTTTACTAGGCCTCATGTGAAAGACACCGGAGAAATCTTCCCACAAAAAGCCTCAATTTAACATACGACGGCTCACCGCATACTTAAATATATTTATTTCTCTTCAATAAACCAACATGCAGACATACTGTTTGCAGGCGTTACGTTCACTTTAAAGGGAGTGTGTGTGTGTGTAAGTGCCTCACAGTATAAGCTGCTCTGTGTGTGTGTGTGTGTGTGTGTGTGTGTGTGTGTGTGTGTGTGTGTGTGTGTGTGTAAGTGCCTCACAGTATAAGCTGCAGAGTGTGTGTGTTTTAATTTTTCTCAGGAAGACCAACTGTTTGATTCTTATTCCTGTTTGGTAAGTTGTATGGCTGGCGGATGTTGACTCGATCTTTCTCAGCCTCCAGATCTTCATCGTATGGTTCCTCCTCATCCTCGGCCTCGCTGTGATGAGGAGACGAGTGAAGCGAGTGAGCAGGGGAAGGAGGCACTGAGGCGGGACGCGGATAACGGAAGCCTGCGGCCTGCATCACATACATGAAAGAATACACATCAGCTAATAATATAAATAATTTATTGCATTAAAACATTTAGCAGATGCGTTAATCCAAAGCAACATACATTTATACTATACTATGGTAGTCAACATGTGAATTGTGGACCAAAAGCTTTCAAAGTTGTCCTAAAACTAGGCCTGTCACAATAATCAATATATAGACATATCGCACAAAACATGGAGATGACCTCCTTAACATTTAGTGATGCATAATATGAAAAATGATTGTCAGCAACATTTTAGCAGATTGTGCAGTTTCCGTCATCTCCAGCAGAGCTGTCAGGTAAACATTTGTTTTACAATAAATTACTTTAGTATATTTTCCTGTGGGTGCCTAATAATGTTAAGAATAAAATAGCCTATGTTCTTTGAAAGAGTGCAATTGCATTATGATGCTATTCTGTTGTCATTCTGGCGTAAATGCTCTTGAAAATACAATAATATTGTTTAAATCACAATAAATTTGGTGCAATATATTTTATAACAACAAAAGTTCTATCTTAGCCTATCTTGTTTTAGGACAATTAAAAAAAAAACAATCCACTTCAAACTACTGTATACAATGGATAAATGGACGGATGGATAGATAGACAGAAAGAAACACACACACACCTAGATGATTATAATTAAATCTATGTAAAAAAAACCTGATTATTATTGTTTTTTGTATTACCGTTTTATCCTAAAATGTTTATTTTTAAATGTACAGTTTATTTTGATCTATTACTTTTTTTATTGATATAAATTAATAATATGATATTTATGAATGCTATGATATATTGAATAATAATATGATATATTAGATAATATGATATATTATTGATTTTTTGTTTATTATTATTATTATTATTTGTATACATCTTTTTTTTTACTAGTACTATTTACTGCGTTAGCTGTTTTTTTTATTATATATGCATGTTCTTTTATCTTTGTGTAAACTTTATAAATGCTTTGGCAATACATTTGTAACATTTGTCATGCCACTAAAGCCATTACTAAATTAAATTAAATTGACAGTTACATGGACAGATAGATAGGTAGACAGAAAGACAGACACACATATTACAAAATAATTTAAAATAATTATTCCCATGGAAATGAAAGGAGTTTTCCAAGTCTGAAAATATTACTTTTGTATTACAAAAAGGTTACTGATTGGGTCAATAAAAAAAAAAAACAATGTCATGTCCATTAATATATTTCCTGAGGAAAAGAGTTGCGTAATGTCATTTCACTATTGTTTTTTTAATTGTTAGTTTTTGTATTCATTTACATGAACTAACAGAAGCTATGTATTCACCCAAGTGGCAAATTTATCTTTATTTCAACATCCAATAAAATAATAAAAATCACAATTTCCTTAGTAATAAGTGCAATTTATAAACCATAATTAAAATAACTATATGTAAATTCTAAAATAATTGTTAACAAATTAAGCCTAATTTACATACAGACAGACATAAATACTTTATCCACAGTATCCACAAATAAGTGATAGATTTAGAAACAACAACAGAATACATAAACACATAATCAGAAAATATACATTAATATATACACATCTGACTATATATATCTATAAACATGCATATAAAGTGATATAGATTAATGATAAGACTAATAATAGTTCCAGATTATGTTAAAGATACTTTTGGTTTCATTTTAAAGGCCTTCATGGTCTAGAGTAGGGGTGTCAAACTCAATTCCTGGAGGGCCGAAGCCGTGCACAGTTTAGTTCCAACCCTGCTCCAACACACTTACCTGTAGGTTTCAAACAAGCCTGAAGGACTCAATTAGTTTGATCAGGTGTGTTTAATTAGGGTTGGAACTAAACTGTGCAGAGCCGCGGCCCTTTTGGAACTGAGTTTGACACCTGTGGTCTAAAGAACTTTCAAGATTTAATTCTTTTATTTTTATTGTTCATTAATTGCTTTATTTTTACTTACCGAAGAGGGTTCTTGAGGTTCATAGATGTATGTGTCCGGGTAAGCCTTTGCTAAAGCCAAATGACGGGCAGAAACGTAGTACTAAAACACAGAAGCATGCTAGATTAGTTCATGAACAAGAACCTGTTTTATTGCATATACAGAAAGCTAATTATAAACATATAGACAGTTATGATTGATCTTTGATTGTGTGTGAAGTCTGACCCGGCCCAGATATCTCCAGTCCAGCAGGTCACTGAGGCGCTCGGTTCGGTTCCTTTGAATGATTCTTTGCCTGCGACTCTGCTGACAGAACTGAAACAAGAACGACGTCAGCTGATTACAGGACTCGTCCACTGAGCGATACCGCCGGTCCAGAATATAGATACCTGCCAGAGAAGGAATTAGCAAAAGAAATGTGGATTTAAATTAAATTAAGATTAATAAACCTGATATCAACTAAAAATACTGCATGGAATGCCTCTCACCATAAGCTGACGGGTCTGCAATGTGCTCCTCCATAAAACAGCCAAACCCAGACAGGTTAGTGGAGATTGACGGGATGCCCATCACCGTACACTCGGCTGAAAGACACATTTGTATGCATTGGGGCAGTTGCTAATGCATGATCATATACCATAAGTTCTATACAAGTCACCCTGGACATAAACACCAGTCTCAAAAGTACATTTCTTTGAAATTGAGATTTACAAATCACCTAATTTATACATAATTTCCACTGATGTATGGTTTGTAAGGATAGGATAATATTTAAGATATGAAATATGAGAAATAAAATAAAACATACTAAAATTGCCTTTAAAGTTGTCTGAAATAAGTTCTTGGCAATCCACATTACTAATCAAAACATGGGATTTTTATATATTTACAGTTGGAAATTGAGAAAACATCATCATAGAACATGAACTTAATTAACATTCAGATTTTCATCATACAGAAACATTTTTTTATAATTTTGACCCATGCATTTTGACCCATTCTGCCTATATTTACTAGTTAATTGACAGTTACTGCAAAAATCTAATCAACAACTCACATTTGGGAAGAGTCAAAACGATCTGCTACAGTTCAAACTGAGCATCAGAATGGAGAAGAAAAGGTGACTTTTATTATTATTATTATGTTTTATTGTTTTATTATTAAGCCTTTTAATATTAAAATGTAAGTGACTCTGAACAAGGCAAGATTGTTGGTCTAAATTCTAGGACAAAAATGCCTTGTTGATAAGAGAGGTCAGGGGAACCACCAAACTCATTGAAGCTGACATAAAAACAACAGTACCTCAAATTAATGCAATCGTTATTATTACTGAAGTCTGCTAAAGAAAATCTCTGAACATTCTTAAACTTGAAACAGATAAGCTACAGTAGTAGGACATGATGACAGAAATCCAAGGCTACAATTAACAAGAGCTCACCAAAACTGGTCAACAGAAGATTTGGAGTGAGTTTGCCTGGTCTGATAAGCAGGACATTCAGGTAGAAGGATCAGAATTTGTTACAAATATCATGAAAGTGTGGACCCATGCTGCATTGTAGAGACAGTTAAGCTAATAATGATTGTAATTTAGTGCCACAGATATTTTCTTAGGACACTTTAGGCCCTTTTAGTATCACTTGAGCCCCATTTAAAACACCACAACCAGTCTGCTAAACATGTTCATGCCTTTATAGAATATGTGGATCAAGAGAGATGACTGAGAAACTGGGACAAAATGATGAATTTATTGTGAATATTTAATTAGAGGCTGTTTGGAGTATTGTGTAAAGCTTGGGTTTGTACCAATTTAGGAAAATGTACAAACAGTGTGAGGAAAGCACATATAAGAATAAATGATTAAACAATTTGAAGTGAAATTTGGGGTAACGGGGCAGGAAAAAATAAGCTTGAGCCTATTAAAGTCAAATAAAAATACAAATAAAATAAAACTTAAAATAATAATTAATACAATTATTAAATAAAATCAATAAATAATTAAATAAACAAATAAATTGAAATAAATAAATAAAAATAAAAACACAAATGAATAAACAAATACAAATGAATAAATACAAGTAAAATAAAATAAAAACAAAACAAAATAGTGTAGTTTTACCTGGTGTGTATCCCCAGGGCTCATAGTAAGAGGGAAATACTCCAAGGTGGCAGCCTCGCACAAACTCCTCATAGTCCATCGGTAAGAGAGGAGAAGTTGAGGAGAGAAACTCTGGATGGAAGATCACCTAGCAGAAGAATAGATGATGTGCTAATTATAATATTTTTCCTGAATCAGTCCTACTTTAAATAGAAACAGTTCGTTATACTCGGTCATTATACATTTTGTGATTCATGGGCTTTTAACTTTTAATTATGCTTTTGAATTTCATTGTGTGACCAAGATCTTTTTAAGACGACAAGAAAGTTTGAAAAAGTGATTTTTAAAGCAATATATTGCCTGTTGGTTGGTACTATAAATTAAAATACAAAAACCTGTAAATAAACTGTTTTCTTTATTTTTCCAGACTTAATCCTCTATATACTATTTTTTAATTAATTTATTGTTTCAAACTACAAAAATGTCAATAATTGTCACTTTGTTAAATTCCACATTTGAACTTTTAACATCCAAAGTCAACAGAGCAGATATCAAGATCCCATACTGCAAATCATAACCCTAAATAAACAAATAAAACCTGTGAAATCACACACGGAACCCGTTAATGAACATATATATTTCCAAGTGTGTGTGTGTATACTTTGACTCTGTCCTGAGCTGAGTTGAAGAGGCCGATGCGGCGGATGCAGTTGAGGATGGGGTCGCTGCTATCCTCCAGCATGTTGTGTGTGCATACGGGGGGCTGGCACTGCCGCTGAGTGGCAAAGATGGCACGCTTCATCATGGTAAAGTCCTCCTTATCCAACATCTTGGACACATCAGGCAACTGCCCTCTGAGAACAAGAATAAAAAAAGAGTCACCTCCTTAAAAAGATCTGTAGATTTGCTAAACGTAGTTGAAAATGAAGGCAACTCACACTAAAAGCGATTCATAGAGTTTCTTCCCAAAGCGCTCTTTCACACTCTGTGCCGTGTCCCTAAAAAAACAAACATGCAATTTCACAACAAAATTCCTTCAGATTTTCAAGAGACCCTAAATCAGGGGTGTCCAAACTCAGTCCTGGAGGGCCGGTGTCCTAGACCTAGTGCCCTCCAGGACAGAGTTTGGACAGCCTTGCCTAGTTGGTGGAATGAACTCCCTAACTGTATCAGAATGGCAGAGTTACTCGCTGTTCTCAAGAAACGACTAAAAACTCAACTATTTAGTCTCCACTTCACTTCCTAATCTGCAATTGCCTCTCTGGATATACCACTAACTGTACTCAAAAAAAAATAAAATAAGAAAATTACTAATGCTTTCCTTCTTAGACTTTACAGACCTGAAACTTGAAACTTGCACTTATTCATTGTTGCTCTTAGTTGTGTAAATTGCTTCCTTGTCCTCATTTGTAAGTCGCTTTGGATAAAAGCGTCTGCTAAATGACTAAATGTAAATGTAAAGTGCAAGTATAAACTGATTTTTTTTTTGCATTTTTTAACAGGATGATGCACAAATAATATTATCATTTCTCCATTTTAGGCTATTAGTGAGGTGATATTATGACTATGGTTAATTCAAGTAAAAGGTATATTTATTTATACTTCATTCATCATTAATTTATTTATTGCAAAATGGCAACAGAAAGCAGGCAGTTAGAATGCTCTAGACCAGGGGTGTCCAAACCTTTTCTTATGAAGGGCCAAAAACCAAACTTGATTGAGGGTAGTGGGCCCAAGGTAAATCTACCAAACTGTATTACATTAAAGTTGCTATGGGTAATTTATTAATTTATTTAATAATTCTAAAAGTATCTAGAAAAGCATTGCTTTATTGGATTGCTTTTTCAAGCTGCTCTTGTTGTAGCCTTGACTTGCTTGCTGATGTTTCTGCATTGTCCTTTATCTGTCAAGTGACAGTATTTATATTTTACATAAAATTAGATTAATTTAATAAATTTTATTGAGACATTGAATTTTAGATTTTTTTTGTGTGTAGCCCAGCAATAAAACAAATAAAAAAGTGAAAAAAAAAATGTACGTTAAATTAGAAATAATGATCTTTACTAAAGGCATTCACTCAAACCCTTCCCATTATTCTCACTCTCTTCTCAGATGGGAGTGCGGGCCAAATCAAAGGCTACAATGGGCCAACTTTGGGCATCTCTGCTCTAGATTAGTGTTGTTACGGAAGACGAAAACCATTTTAAACGAAAACTATTTTGTAGTTACTTTAAAATTGATTAAAAATGACAGAAAATAAAACTAACATTTTAAACTAACAAACAAAAGACGTTTCTAAAGTACTAAACTGTTAAAACTCAATAAAATATAAACAGCTAAAAACTAACAAAAACAACAAGAGAAAATACTAAAAGAACTAATATTAAATTATTCAAATTAAATCTAATTCAAAAATATAAATAATAAACTATACAATGCAATATAATATTATAGTACAATGTATAGTTTATTTATTATTTTATCTATATTCTACAAATAACTCCCAATTCACGCTGTAGGTGAACTTGAAAGTTTATATCAGGTAAGCAGGCCACACAGTCATTCAGGTTAGCAGTCCTCACAGTGCAGTTTTCATGGTTACCAGAGCTGTTTCCGTACGGCTTGGCCCTTCAGGGTCTCCACATTGAAGTTGTTGGTGCGAGCCGGCATAATGAAAAATGCTATGACGGTCACCTCGCTGTGATTCACCTGGACACAGAAAATAGTGTTTAAAAAAAACTAATATGATATGATATGATATGATATGATATGATATGATATGATATGATATGATATGATATGATATGATATGATATAGGATAAGTTGCTGGATAAGTTGGTGGTTCATTCCGCTATGGGGAACCTGGATTAATAAAGGGACTAAGCCGACAAGAAAATGAATAAATAATATAATATAATATAATATAATATAATATAATATAATATAATATCTCAAATCATATCTCATATCATACCATATCATATCATAGATCTCATATCATATACACACTTGCATTGTAACTTTTTAGATGCACATTGAAAGTAAAACACAAATACAGACCCTCAGTAGGTAATTAAGTCTGGCCAAAGCTTCAAGAAAGATATCCGCTCCTTTATTCGAGAACTCATAGCGTCCAGCAATGAAAAGAAACACCGTCTTGTCAAGGTTAAAATCTAAATGCCTATAGAAAACACACACACACACAAACAGAAAACATGTAACTCGTGTCTGAGAGTTTTTTTTTTCCATAGTTGACACTTTACATCAAGACTTATTAAACGACATTAAATAGAAGTGTAAACGGGGTGTAAGTTGTTCACTTTATATGCAGAGGTAGCTGAAAATGCACTTGCTTTCGTAGCACAAACGTGTGTGGCTGATTGTGTTTGAACTTTCATAGAAACTTACAACTGGGGTCCGTTCTTCGTACCCCGCTTAAATGATCTAAGATGATTTGGCAGATCCTGGATCTTTTCATCTCGATAACTGATCTCTCGCTAATTTGGTTCATCAAACAAGTTCGCGAATCAGATTAGAATGTCTGGATGAACTGATCTGAGATCCCTGCGTGTGTTGTGAAGGACAGATCTATCGATCCTCGAAATCATGGTCAGCTATGCAGCGATTGGCTGACGGCACAGCAGCGTAATGACATCATCTGATTAATATTCAATTATCCATGTGAGCAAAATTACATCAAATTAGCAGTAAACCATTTGTTAAATATGACACGCAATAACCTTCCACATTTGTTGTGAGCTGCAGGCTTTACACTTTCTTGTGTCAAGAGTATTCATCATGTATTTAAATGCAAATCAGTGTATTTAGTTCTACATTTAGAAAAGATTTTCTTTATTATAGTAGCCGTTTTTTAATCGGTGTAAAGAATAACTGGTTGTTTACAAAAGCATTTTGATATTGGTAAAGGCGTCTGCAACTTTTGTGAAGCATTAAATCACTGGCATATTAACTGTCAAAACATGTTTATGTATGCATAAATGTATTATTGCTTTAAAAAAAAGTCACATATTCTGCATTTCTATCATACACAATTTGTACTAAAGCGATCTAAAACGTTCATATCAATAAGTTTTCTCTTTGCACCATAAGGTGGCAGTCTTTGTACTTTCATTTCGAGGGTGCAGATTGCATAAGTTTTATTAATATGTATAACTTAATTTATTTTATTAAAGACTATAACTTTATATATATATATATATAGTTAAAAAATATGTACCATTTTCCCAAGTGTATATAACTACTACTGTAAGAAAATATCAGAATTCAGAACATACTTTCTGTATTATCTTTGCTTGAACTGAGCCGATCTAATCCTGTTTATATGACTTGAACCTGCTCCCGATCAGGTTTGACCTAGCAGAACTGTTGCTATGACAACAACTCTTGGATCAGCTTTGAAGAACGAAACGATCCTGGATCGTGTCAAATCGTCAATATCCAAATCCAGCTAATTGAGTAATCCACGTACGAAGAACGGACCCCTAGTCTCTATCAAAAGAGGAGAGGGTCTAATTAAAATTCCAAAACAACAGATTTTTTAGGTTGTAAAAAGAAAATGTACAATGGGGTATAAGCACACAGACTTTTAATTTCAGCTGGCCTGCCTCAGCACTTCCGGTGAACTGTCTGTCTCCATTATAAAAAAACCTCATTGAAGGTCTGATTTCCTTAAAAAATAGTGATCTTTACTGCCTGATTGATATAAGATATAAAGTGGGTCTCAGATTGTACAAGAAGCACTGCATTAAATTTAATTTCCCGCGCCAAATGCTCAAAATTCAAGTTTATTTTACCCCAGTATTTTCAATAGAGTTTCTGCACTCGTCTGCTGATTCTGCAGTGCTAGCGGTTACACAGTCTTTCATCTCTTTTTATGTTTGAGCAACTAAATGAATGCTTAAGTCTATTTAACTGAATGTATTTTAACTACATCATAACATCGATGCTGTACCAGGAACCGTATAAAATTAAAAATAGTCACATTATGCCTTCACCAGAAGTTTATCATTGGCTGAAAAACACTAGCTGTGCATATATCCCATTGCAATTGCTTGACCCCTTAAGGTCTCTGAAATCTCTGAAAACGCATGTTAAAAGGAAAGTAAAAAAAGAGAAAATAAACGCATTTAATTTCTTGTACGTCGTTTTAAACCTTTACGAGTTTCTTTCTTCTGTTAAACAAAAGAAAATATGAAGCTTGCTGGTACCAACTGACTTTCATGGTAATGTTTTTCCTTACTATAGAAGTCAATGGTATCCAGCTACCAGCATTCTTCAAAATGTCTTCTTTTTTGTTCAACAGAAGAAACAAACTTAAACATACTAAAACAAGGGAAGGGTCAATTATCCTATTAAATGGAAGGTTAAACTATCTCTTTAATACCAGGCAGAAACAGAGCTACATATGGATTTGTGAATATGATTGTGTGTGTTATAAGCTCTGACCCATAGAAATGGCCTCTGACGAACTCCTGGATGCGTGCTTTACTCTGAGCATGGAGGTTCTGGAACTCATGCATGGCTGAGAACTTCTTCACATTTAGGCCATTTGGTGTCACAATATCTAACAGAAAGAAAATTACAATATCTTTAGCAATTAATTCAAATTTGTGCAGAAAACAAGCAGTTTCCTAGACATAGTCCAGTCATAAATTAGAAAGGCTTTCTATTACTAAGGATCCAAGATCAATCTAGTGATGATGGTATTTTAAGTAAGATCTCCTGACCGACACAAGACTGCTTTGTCACCTATATACAGTTGAAGTCCAAATTATTAGCCATCCATTGAATTTTTTTAATGAACTGTATTTTCCGATAATATTTTTCTTCTGGGAAAAGTTTCATTTTATTTTGGCTAGGATGAAAGCTGTTTTTATTTTTTAAATCATTTTAAGTTCAATATTATTAGCCCCCTTAAGCTATATATTTTTCCCAATTGTCTATAGAACAAACCATCATTATACAATGAGATGCCTAATTGCCCAAACTTGCCTAATTAACCTAGGTAAGCCCTTAAATGTCACTTTAGGCTGAAAACTAGTGTTTAGAAAAATATCTAGTAAAATATTATGTACTGTCAAGATGGCAAAGATAAAATAAATCAGTTTTTAGCAATTACTTATTAAAACTATTAGGTACTATTAGATAAAAATGTGTTGAAATCTGTTAAACAGAATTTGTGGAATTAAATATACACTGCATATATAAATAAACCAGTCACAAAGACTTTTATAATCCGACCCACTCATACACTGTAAAAGTGTTTAATAACTGTGATTACAGCATGGACCAAAATAATCTTGTTTACCAATTTTGCCACAATCCAACAGTCCTATGTCGAGTGTGTGGTGTTAGTACACCATCACTTTAGAAAACAGTAAGTCACCTGGTTTTCTCTTTAGCAGGTGCTCAGCCTCAATGGCGGTGATCTGAGAGACTGTGGTGAAGACGTGTGCACATCGGCAAGCTGCTCGCTCCAGACAGTAGCGGTGATAGATCTGCCGGTCCCCTGCTTCCTTATCCACATTAAACTACACATGGGATTTAAGAAAACAACTTTAAAATGAGGACACTAGCTAAATTGGAGTTGCTGCTTTTTATCCTCTTAGATCTATAAACGTCTCTCAATCCATTTAATGCCCAAACTAGAGTCCAAGGGCCAAAATTGGTCCATGGTAACCTTTGATTTGGTCTGCCATCCTAACTGAGTGAAGAGGGAGAAGGATGGGGATGGTTTCGAGGTTGTCATTTCAAATTTAACACAACCCTTGGTTTGTTTGTTTTATTATTTATTGTTAAAAGTGGAACTGAAATAGTTAAATGGAGTTAATAATCAGATTTTGTTTAAATGTACATGTTGTCACCCGACAATGGAGAGACTTTGGTGAGCAAATCACGATAAAGGCAGATTCTGTTTGACTACTGTATTCAACACTTAACATTGAATCTGATTGTTTGTTTTTATTTATCATTTAAAAAGTTTTACTGCATTAGTTTTATTTATTTCGAAATATTATGAAATGACCTAGGAAATTACCCATGGCAACTGTTATATAATTTGATATAGTCACCTTCGACCGACGGCTATATGGTTTTTGGCCCTTTATTCAAAATAGTTTGGGCACCCCTGATTTAATGTCATATATCAGCCAGAACTCACTATTTACTCTACCTCAAGTGGTTATAAACCTTTATGAGTTTTTTTCTTCTAATAAAAGATATCCTAAAGAAAGATCAAAACCTATAACCATTGACTTACATTGTAAAAAAACAAATACTATGGAATTCAATGGTTACAGGATTCCAGCATTTTTGAAAGTATCTTCTGTTGATGTACAACAGAACAAAGGAAGTCAAACATGTTTGAAACAAGTGAAGGGAGAGTAAATGATGAAAGAATGTTCAGTTTTGGGTCAACTAAGCCTTTAAGATGGTCCCACACCAGTTCACTTGAATAAAAAAGAAAATTGTAGTGGCATCGATGAGTTTAACTGTTTTATCAAACAAAAACCTTGTTGCATCTACTACGTTATTATGGCTGTCAAAGTGAAGCATACAGACTTCACTCAAGCCACAGAAAGACAAACACTTTGCTAAACGATACACAATATGCAATCAACCAACCTTGCGATAGTTATTATACCCTTTATAAACAACTTGAGACAAATATGATGTAAATGAATGAGTAGTCGTTGGTGGTGCAGGAGTCTGTTTATGTACATATTAAACAATGTATTCAAAGTTTAATGATGTGAACCATGGCATTGCAGGGTACACCCTACTTAAACATGCCTTCTTGGGTTCAAACTATTATTTAGTCGGAAATATGAAATAATAAAAATAATTTCTTTGCAAAATGATTCTGTCAAGCTAGGAAATATGTGTTTTATATGTTTTCTATTATTACTAATATTGCTACAAAGTACTAAATCTCAAAATTAGGAATAAATTAAAGTAAAAGAAATATAAAAACAAAACTAAATTTCAAAAATAAATAATGGGATGGTATAACATATTCAAAAAACAACATCAGAGAAAAACACAGTATTATTTCACACAAACCTCTGCCAGGTTGTTGTAGAAGTCGACGTTTCCAGCACACAGGTATCGGCCGAGGAGAGTGGCGTGTGTGGTGAAAATAGTTGATACAGGTAGTTGTCGCTGCCTGCATAAGACGAGACCCAAACCTGCCAGCCACTCGTGAAAATGTGCCACAATATGAGGAGGTTCGTCACACTGAGCTGCATACTGAAACACACACGCAAATTATAATGAATGAAAATTAATAATAATCAAAACAATTTATAAAATTACATGATTTTAGATGGAAATAAAAGCGGAATTCACATTTACACTCTCACTCACTAACTGAAAGGAGCAGACAAGAAAAATAATTGAAAAAAAATGTAACATAGCAATAATAAAAGAATTAAGAATTACTGCTTGACATATCTACAATAATTGGCTTTAAATGACTAATATTACTACAAACTACTAAAACTAATATTAATGAATAAATAAAACTAAATTAAAAAACTATACTATATACCAAAATTGTAAATAAAATTTAGTGGATACATCCAGGTTTAATTATTAAATAATAAATGACTAAATCTTAAAAGTAAAATTCAAAAGAAAGCTGAACATACAAAAATAAAAGCCGTTCAAAACATGAACAAATACTACAACAGTAAACAAACAGGGATGCACATGAATGGTAGTTTTAAAACATGGACCAGACATGGCAATAGAAAAATTGACTTAATTTGCTTTGATGTGATTCAAAAGGAATGGGACAGAGTACATGGGCCCATGCAATTTAGGCATGTTTATCGTTTGGGCGAAGAATGTAAAATAAAGTTGTTCTCTGTGTGCACATTTAGAACTAAGCTGCAATTAATCGCGTATGACCTGGTCAAACAGTGTATTTGTGCATTTAATCACTCGCTTTTCTATGGAGCCAGATCAGTCTAAAAATAAAACATTTCCTAATAAATTCATACATGTACAATTCACACTTACAAAATCCAACTTGTAAATTTGTAAACACAGGTAAATGTGAATCATGTTGTGAATGTATGAATTGCATTTGTGTATTTTTGAATTGTGTTTTGAGTTTATGAATTGCACTTGTGTATTTTTGAGCCGTGTTTTGAACTTACGGACTGGATTGGTGTATTTTTAAATGTACGAATTGGATTTGTGGATTTTTGAGTCGTGTTTTCAACTTACAGACTGGATTGTTGTATTTTTGAATCCTGTTTTGAATTCATGAATTGGATTTGTGTATTTTTGAATTTCCGAATTAGATCTGCATATTTTTTAATCGAGTTTTGAATTTGCAAATTGGATTTTGGAAATGTGAATCGTGTTGTACATGCATTGTATTTTGTAAATGTAGTATTTTTGAGACTGATCTGGCTCCATACGTTTCTGACATGCTGCAAGCAGAAAGAAGATTTATATAATTTATATACAACTTAAGCAGTAAACTTCTTGTTCATTTGAAGATTTATATTTCATCCATGATGAATAGACTTCATGTGCCCCTCAGTAATACCACGCTGAAAATGAAACTACATTTTTCCAAATTTGTGAGCTTGGCAATCAAGTCAAATGTTCAAAGCAGCAGCTGATTGCACGGTCCTCCCCATAGATCTGAGATACAGCAATTTATATGCAAATCGCATTTTACAATCCATTTTTAGTTGCAAAAAATGGTTGTTCATACATGAATATGAAATAAACAGTGTAAGGATGAAGCCACCCCTCTAGGTACTTCCCTGTATATAACTAATACTGAAATACCACTTCGCACCTCTCCCAGAAGCCAAGCTGTGAGGAAGCCAAAGAGAACAGCGTCGTTTGCCTCTCTATCAAACCAAGGCACACCAATATTACATTTCTCCCACAATTCACTTTTCCAGCGGTCCAGAGACCAGGCCGTGAAGCCCACGTCCAGCAGAACCACATATGGTGAGCCTTCAATAAGCCATCGACCAAAATAAACCTATAATAGACCAAAAAAAAGACAGTGAAAGCAACAAATTTAGAAACACTGTGACTTCATTACTGATCTGAAAAGATAACACTTATGGAAACAGAGTTCTTGTCATAAGGATCACATGCTAATACTGTCTTCATACCATTTATTCAATGATGATAAGGGAGGATATTCCTAACTTGTTTGTCTAAAAGGGACAGTTCACCCAAAATGAAAATTCACTCATTTACTCAAGTGGTTCTAAAATTTTATGTATTTCATAATGACAAAATGTTTGGTAACACTGTTTTTGATTGTCCATTTGACTATAAGTAGACTGTCTGCTTAATATTTGCTGACACTGCTCCTTCAACAGACATTTAACTGACTATAAGAAACTTTGTAAGTACATGTCAACTTACAATAACCATAACCCCAACTTAACAGTCTACTTATAATCTAATGAGAATTAGCTGGCATGCAGATGCAATACTTAAATTCCATAAGCGGACCCTCAAAATAAAGTGTGATGGAGTGTTTTTATATTTTTGAGTGAACTATCCCTTTTACACCCTGCAGTGCGCCAAAAACCGACGAAGCCAATTGGATGAGGTATAATAATTCAGTTAATAATCGCAAATTCATTTTCTGTTCATTGCAAAGTGACTCTGCAATAATGTTGGCAATATATCGCATACAGTCTCTGAGAAGGAAACTTCCTCAAAGACCTGAAATAGACCTCAGTCTGTCTGTAGGACACTGATATAGCCTTTAACCTTTAAAACACACACACACATCATAGAGATGCCCCACAAACACTCTCCAGAATGAAGGTTTAGGGTTTCACTGAGGATTAGAGTCAATTCAATCTAGCTGTGTAGAGTGTGTGTGCATATTAGTGTGAATAAATAGAAGATGAACAGAGCAAGAAATTGGCTGCTTTATTTAATACAGTTGAAGTCTGAATTATTAGCCCTCCTGAAATATTAGCCTCAAGTACATTTTTCCCCCATTTTGGTTTAATGGAAATAATTTTTTTAACACATAATACAAAACATAATAGTTTTAATAACTCATTTATTTTATCTTTGCCATGATGCCAGTACATATTTTACTAGATATTTTTCAAGACACTTCAATACAGCTTAAAGTGACATTTAAAGGCTTAACTAGACTAATTATGCAAGTTAGGGTAATCAGGCAAGTCATTGTATAACAACAGTTTGTTCTGTAGCCAACTCCAAAAAATATATATTGCTTAAGGGGGCTAATATTATTGACCTTAAAGGGTCATGAAAAACCAAAACACATTTTTTGAGATGTTGACAGTCATGTGTCCCACGCTGCTAAAAACACTATTAGGACACATATATTTCACAAAAAAAAAAAAAAAAGTGAAAATTGGCTGTTTTTGCGTTTTTTTCAAGCAAATCCGTTCTTCTGGTTTGAAAATAAATTTTGAAGCAACGTCACGACCATAAGATCCTTGTGTAAATTCCAGTGTGAAGACTGGATGTCTGTACCGGCGAGTACAACACTGTCTTTGAGTTTTCAGCATTAATTCATGAGAAATTCATTAATATGCATGATAGCTTGGAAGACGCCACGTTGTGTTGCCAACCGTAATTAAAACAAGTGAAAGAAGAAGAATTGTTCGGAGACATGGGTCCTCAGTGTTGCGTTTATAAATGTGCCGCAACGAAAGTTTTGTTTTCAATTTCCGACTATAAGAGCACACGTCTGGATTGCAGTCGTCTGCTGACATGTGACAAAAATACTTTTGTAAGGAACAATTTTTCCCTAAGAGCTTTTTGCATCTTTAAATGGTGAAATCCGGACTTGCCACTCGTCTTTTAAAAAAGACAGAGTTTCAGTTGGTGCTGATTGTTCTGTCTCTACAGATTTTGTTAGTGTGTGATCAGTGTTATTTGTTTATGTTTATTCAGGTTGCAAGTTTAGTTAGTATCGTCAGCAGTACTCTTTTAGTTTTTAAAGACAGACCTTAGTCAAAATTATTTAGTTACTGAGTTTACAGTACGTTAAAATCACTACATTAATATGGACTGAAAAATGCACTGTAAATGCTGCTCTCCCAATGTAAACATGCAAATACCTTAATCAAACAATTACTGTCGTGGAGAATTTTCACCGCATTGACAGGATAGTCTATACACACACGGCTTTCTGACACTTAAAAAAATGCGGAGTTTTTTTTTTTTTTATCCCTTACATCGTGTGGTATCAAACTTTCCATTAAAAGTACATTCTTCCAGCAGCTCCTTGCATCCAATATCTTGTTTGTCACGGGCGTATACATGAAATGTTCCTTAATGAAAGTACCAATCTGCAGTTAAAGTCCACAAATTCTTAATTTGGCAAACAATTCCACAAACATGTAATCTTAGTCACTGTCTTTCTCCCGGGTATGTGTGTTGCTTAGCATCTGAAAAAAATCAGCGCGTGCTCGAACCGAAAACTCCCATTTTTATGCAAACCATTCCCTCTTTCCCTCACCCGACACTCCCACCTAAACAGAGTTGGGGTTAGGGGGGGGTGTACATGGCCCTTTAAAATGTTTTAAAAAAAATTAAAAACTGCTTTAATTCTAACCCAAATAAAACAAATAAGAGTTTATCCAGATAAAAATATATAATAGAAAATACTGTGAAAACTTCCTTGCTCTGGTGAACATCATTTGGGAAATACTTAATTGTTATTATTTTTTTAATTCACAGGACGCCTAATAATTTTGACTTCAACTGTATATGCAGCAAGCCTGTGAATTTGCATACCTTGCAGCCGCTGCTGTTCATTTTATCAATGGTTCTCCTGAGTGCCGCATTGCAGGGTTCGATCAGCTCCACTTGCGTCCTGACATTGGACTCCATGTACGGGCCCACCAGAAAGTAGTTCTCGCCCCATTCCTCGCAGGTCAGACGCGCCTTGGTCTGGATCACCGTGTAAATGCCACCAACTGCCACAAAACAAAGTGCTTAGTCAACCTTGAACAGTCCAGCAAAAAAAAAGGCCACTCTTCCCTTTGAACTCAATTTTACCAATGGGTATCACAATATCCCCTCCTTGACCTTTATCTAATTTTGCCGCAAATAATATGTAATATTCACTGAGTGCAGCAAATGCCAACACTAGAGGTCACATGATTCCGGCTCCCCAAGTATGTGGATGGATACAGTATCTGAGAGCGTGTGCCGCAGCAGGGGTCATGTGCTGTGTCGGTTTTTGTGGTGTGACAACAACAGCAGTGTCTGGTTTCTGCTTTCCAGAACTATAGATGATGGTATACTACTGGCTAATTTACTCTGCAAAGATGACACAAGTGTTGGAGTAAGTGAAATTAAACATTACCAGTTTTGAACCAGTTTGGCAGCACGGTGGCTCAGTGGTTAGCACAGTCGCCTCACAGAAAGAAGGTTTCTGGATTGAGTCCCGGCCCGGCCATTTGGCATTTCTGTGTGGAGTTTGCATGTTCTCCCCATGTTGGTGTGGGTGTTCTCAGGGTGCTCCGATTTCCCCCACAGTCCAAAGACATGCGCTATAAGTGAACTGAATAAATTAAATTGGCCATAGTGTACGAGTGCGTGTGTGAATGTAAGTGTATGGGTGCTTCCCAGTATTGGGTTGCATCAGGAAAAGTTTGCGCAAAACATATGCTGGAATAGTTGGCAGTTCATTCCGCTGTGGCAACCTCTGACAAACAAGGAACTAAGCCAAAGGAAAATAAATGAATGAATGAATGAATGAACCAGTGTGATAAAACAGATGAGAGTACAAGAAACAGTCTTGAGTATGAAACTGATTGCTCTTTTGTGTGTGTATTTATGCTTTCTTGGGTCAGCTCTACAGATCTAGGATCAGCTCTGAATAGCCTGCGGACTGTCTGGCTTGCAGACTCCTGTCTCCTTTACCTATCAGGACTGATACGACCCTGCATTTGAGTAGATATTTGGGGTTTGTCTATCTTTGTTCAGCCAATCAGGACCTTTAGCCCTTAGTTGATGCCATTTCTGGCTTTTTGTAAGAGTATAATTGTTGTATTGTAAAGAAGCGAGATCAGAAAACTCTATGCAAGTGTGAAGAACTGCAAACCATCATCAGTAAATTTTCTTTATTTTACTTAATTTCCGTTTCAGACTCCTCTCTTGATCTGACACACCATTTGTTTTGGTTTCAACTGTTATTTTCTATTCCTAGCAGAAGCATTTCTGAAGCGGAGGCGACTTGACATAAACTGTGTTAGGCTGGATACCTTAAGTTAATAAAAGCAGCCTTGCCGAGCATAAATTAAGTCAAAAGTGCAGTGATTTATTAGATTTTTTTATTCTTTTGTTTTTTATTTATTTGATGTGCTTTTATTTATTTATTTATTATTGGGCTGATTCTGAGCTGATTTTTTCTGAAAATCCAAGGTGGTTACAAAGATTGTCCTTACATTTTTTTTTCTTTGTGTGGTTTTTAGTGTTAATTAATATTGTTTATTCATTAGTTTGTTTGTGTTAATTTGGCTTAGTCTCCATTTCTGATGTTGAAACAGCGGAATGAACCGCCAACTATTTCAGCATATGTTTATTACAGCGGATGCATCCATTCACACTCATACATCATACATTATTCAATTCACATTTAGCATGTGTTTGGGAAAACCTGAGCACCCGGAGGAAAGCCACGCCAACATAGGAAGAAAATGCAAGCTCCACACAGAAATGCCAACAGACCCAGCTGGGACTCAAACCAGCGACTTTCTTGCTGTGAGGTGACAGTACTAACTACTGAGCCACCATGCTGCCTTAATAGCATTAATAAGGCCATTGCCATTCTTGTCACAATTACTGGTTTCAAGGTAAACCATGGTAAATTATTTGATAGTTAGTATTACAGTTTAAAATATTCATTTTCATTAAAACCTTGATTACAGTGATTTTGATAAATTAACGTTAAATCCTGTAACCTTACGATTAGCTAATCACTAAAGGCTGCCATGTAAACGCATATTTACATAGACAGCTAATAAAATTTTATATACACAGTTGAAGTATGTAGTATTTCTTTCATTTAAAGAGTGATGCTGCACACTACAAAGAATACGAAGCTGCAGCTTAACTGCAAAAAAATGTTGTTTTTTTTTAAAAAATCGCAAACAATACAAGTCTGGAAAAAAAGCAATTCAATTATTTTCGTCAGCAAGTGAAATTAAACAATATTCAATCAGAAAGCAAACTCACAAGAGCTGAAAGTATAACAAACACATGTTGCAGCAAAGTGAAATGGATTTGGACAGCAGGGATGGATTGTCAGCTTTTTGATTGGTGGCAGCAGCACAAATGTGAATATTTGTTTTTCATCCACCATTGTTTATTCTCTTAAGTCTTGAGAAATTTCCAGTGTTAATATTTGGGATTCTGTTGGAAATCTGTTGGTAAGTGTGGTGCTGCTGACACATCACGGTGAACTACACACTAAACAAGCAAAATGGCAAAACAGGACATTTTGTCCCGATGTTTGTGGCAAGGGCGTAGGTTTGCACTTGACATTGGTGGGACGGGTGAATCAAACAATTTAAACTAAATTTTGAACAGTAATTCAGTGGCACCAACTCAGCTTTGTAAACAGGGCTGCATGATTTTGGAAAAATCTGACATTGCGATATTTTGTTTTGCTGCAATATATATTACAATATGAATATACCTTTAGGTGATTTAAATAACTCTATTTGGAAAGATTTCTTTATTTTAGATCAACTGGAATGATCAAGTCTTTTACTATGCAGTGCATCTATATAAAATATAATAAATTACAAGCATATATAACATAGCAAAAATAAAAGTCAAATAAACAGTGCTTTATGGTTTTCTGGGGAGTGTAACAGTATTCAAGTACAGAAACTGAACAATTAAATGTAAAATAACATGGTCATTATTGTACAAGTAATAAAATTACATGTATAAATTTAATTATATCTTTATCTTTTAATCTTTAATAAACAATCTAATCCTGCAATGTGAATATTGCGAATACACATTGCTCAGATGAGTTCAGTCCTAGTTTATACCTTCACATACATATATATATATATATATGTATGTGTGTGTGTATGTATATACACACACACACACACACGCATATATATACACACACACACACACACACACACACACACACACACACACATATATATATATATATATATATATACACACACACACACACACACACACACACACACACACACACACACATACATATATATATATATATATACATACATATATATATATATATATATAGAGTCAAATGTTTCTTGTTACAATACTTGTTAATTATATTTTTGTTGCATCATTTTATTTAATTGCATCAAAAACATCTAGCATGAATCATCATAGTCACTAATAAAATGCAGAACTGAAATGTTGAGAAACTTTGTAATATATGGGAACACAAATGTGGAAGGGGCAAATATTTAACAAATATATTGATGTTTTCTCTGGAAAATTCAATAGACTGTATGGATTGTTTTCCAGCCTTGTTCTGTTTACTGGAGGTTAAACTTTTTGTAAAAATGAAGATTAATCGAATATTATAACCTTAACCCTCTTTATCAACACTGTGGTCATGCACAAATCACTCGCTGCTGAATCCTAAAAGAGAGATAAAAAAAAGAATATGATTGATAGATTTTAATTTGATAGATTTTAACACTTTTTTTTTTTTTAAGTACAAATATTTTAAAAGGCAAACGTACACCACTGATCAATGGTTTGAGGTTGGTCTGACTGTTTAAAAGAAATTAATACTTTTATTTGCCAAAGATGATTTCAATCATGACAGTACTTGGATAATTTATAATAACGTGGCAATACATTTAGAAATAGATTATTTTGAAGAAAAAAAAAATACATTAAGCTTTCTATTTATCATAAATAAATAAAAGAATATAAAAAATCATACAAAGAACATAATAAAAATATAAAATAAATCACCGCACTTTTGATTTAATAAAAGCCTCCATGGTGAAGTAATTATTTCAAAATCATCTAAAAAAAATTTTTTTTTTTAAATCTGACAAACTTAAATTTTTGAGGGTTTGAGTGGAAATACTGATGATATATTAGCACTGAAATAACCTGTACTGTGTAAAAAAAAAATGAAAAAAAAAATTTTAAATAAAAGAAATATGCACACCTTTATTAGCGACCTCCCATGCAATCTCAAACAGGACTGCATCCTCCCGGTCAAACTCTTCATCCCAGTCATCTAGGCCAGACAAGGAGGTGACCGACAAACTGCGCGCCAGTGGCATGCTGTCAATCAAAGGACAAAGACAATATCAATCAGTACATCCATGAGTTTAGAACAGTCTCACATACTAAACTCCCCACAGTTAAAGAAATTTTTAATCTACTTATTCAAACCAGTTTGAATTGTATTAATCCGTTGAACACAAAAGGAGATATTTTGAAGAATTTTGGAAACCTGTAACCATTGACTTCAATAACATTCGTTTGAATGCGCAAAAGGGGAAGGGCTAAGGGGTAGTGATTCTTCAACTAATTACACTGTACACTGGTCACCGTCTGGCAGATTTAGAGGTTTTAGGAAAAAAAAAGGTACAAGTGGATTAAGCTGCTTTTGACGCAAAAGATAATCGACCTTGTTAAAAACCAGAGAACTGTCTAGCACAGGTGTCAATTCAGGTTCCTGGAGGTCCACAGCTCTGCACAGTGTAGTTCCAACCCTGCTCCAACACACTAACCTGTAGGTTTTAAACGAGCCTAAAGAACTCAATAAGTTTATGTTTAATTAGGGTTGGAACTAAACTGTGCAGAGCTGCGGCCCTCCAGTAACTGGAATTGACACCTGTGGAAGTGACATTTTTTAAAAAATTGTTATTTTATTTACTAGCTTAATGCAAATGCATTTTTTAATGCCTTTTTAAAAATGCATTTGCTACTGTATTACAATAGATTACTAAAAATTATTATAGCATTACTACTAAAACTATATTATATATAAATAATACAGGTTTGAACAAAACCTTCATTTATGTCCATGCACAAATCAAAAACAAACAATTATGAATCAAGTCCATGAATGAAGAAAGAACAATATATAAAATTTATTTTCGCTATCACCACTCATGAATGTTGTTTGAATTTAAGTTACCATAGAAATGCAGGTTATTTGCCCTTTATTTGTGTCGCGGTTCAAGTTTATCCACATTGCCACAAACGCACATTGGTTGAAACGTCCTTTTATTTTTAACTGAGGTCTTATTCATTGTGCTCTATAAAATTACAGTTAAAAATTGGGATTGTATGTGTATTTTCGATAGGAAACTGATTTTTAGTGATGGTTCTAATTTTTAAACGGTAAAATAATTTTGAAGGAAGACAGCTGGAGAGCCACGTATTTTTGGTCAAAGAGCCACATGTGGCTTCCCAACCACTGATCAATAAATGAAACTTCTGAACCTAATTATAAAAGCCTGATTAAAATAAATAAATAAATAATTAAAAAGCTCATTTACAAAAAATAAGGTCTGATGGATTTAAAGGGCTTTGCATCTGTCATACTATGGATGTCAATGGTTACAGGTTTATGATATTCCTAAAAATATCTGCTTGTGTTCAACAGAGTAAATAAAAACTCAAACTGGTTTGGAACAAGTCAAGAGTGAGCAAATGATTTTCATTTCTGGGTGCATGTGACACAAGATATCTACATCAGTACATGACCTTCAAGCATGCAAGATGCACGTAATTCCTCACTCTGCCCAAATGACATCCATTTATATCGAGGGAGCAATTCATTAAAACGACTAATCTTCCAAATCGCTCAATGCTTTGCTTTGAAAAAGCTCTGTGATGCTATGAGCACTGAGCAAGTGCATTTTAGCATCAAGTGAGAGGTCTACAAACACACTGTGACACTGAGCCTTCATATCAAGTCTAGGCATGACCTCTCATCAACACCAATTCATGTAATACCGGAGAAAGCCATTCACACACCATCATTCGCACTCTTACAACACACTGCACCTTGAGCAACATGGGGCCTGTTTTACGAGGAAGGCACAGAGAGTGACAGAGACGAGGCTCAGTATAAAGCCAGCAGGGTTTCATGAATAACATAACGGTCTGCCACACAACATAAACGCACATTTACGCGTTTATTATATTAATTGTGAAAGCATATGCTGTATACTGGAGTGTTAACGGAGTGTCATTCATGTTCATGTTCATGATTGAAGCGTCTGCATTTCTTAATAAGCGTGCGCGCGCGCGCTGACTTGGTACGTGCGCTTTGACCACACAGGAACAGTCAAGCCAGGACGTCATAGTCACCATAACAACACAGCAAGTTAAGTCTTTCGTATATATAATGATGAAATCTTGCACACGGTTTTTAAAAAGTCGTTTGTTCATCCTGCACACTTGAGGAAACACAAACTGGCCAGTCGAGCGCAAGCTGTAAAAGTGGGTTTGACCCGGGTAAACGAAGAGCCCTGCGCGTGACATAATTCATTGGCTGTGTAGATGGACGACAGTGTCCCTTTGCAGGGTTTAAAACATACAGACAACTCATTTCAAACTGACAATACGCGAAAGGAGTTAGTTAGCACTCACCCTGCGGTAGCGTCTTTTCCTCGCTCAGCGGCGCAAGCCTCACATCTGCTGGAATCAATCAC